TAACTTGTGATTGCATAAGTAAATGTCCTTTTGCGTTTGCGGATAGTTATCTTCCAGCTTCAAGTAGCAGTGCAGCACAGTGCTTTCCACTAACCGAATGCTGCATGTTGAATATTGTATCTACGGGTGCATGCATTGCATTTTTTCTCCCCGTCTAATACCTACTAGAAAAAATTTGACACCGCCATTTAGGTCGTGGAAGGATAGAATTGGTCAGTGCATCTGCATAGCTGAGGGTAAGGGTTTGAGTTCCGTCTGCTACCTGAACCGCGTGGAATAGTAAAAGAAAGTCGTGTACGTGTGTAGTAAGTTTACTATTTTTAACTGTTCTCACTATTTTTATTTAAACAATTTTAAAGTTTCTCAGGTAACTCAAAATTCACGGAATAACATACCTATATTCTTATTTTTTGTATGGGTATAAGATGTTATTATTAACTTTTTTTATATCTCCTGACTTTTCGTATCCTTTACTAGCTCCGTCCTATGAGTACCCGCATTTAAAAAATAAAGGTATTTAAATGACTGACAGGTATGCGTAAAAACAAAAAAATGTATACCTACCAACGAATTAATTTGATACCAACCTATGTTTTCCTTGCAAATAGTGCGTCTGGCGTGGCATTGGTTAACGAAGTATTGATAACTTTTCTTGTATCTGCTGAACATCATGCAGACTGGCTGCTTATCGTCGGGTGGTAAGTCTACGCACACGTCGTCACATAAGTCGTCGTAATTAAACTTCTGCCAGCCCAGTGGCACCGGTGCAATATGCGAAACTGACCCTGACATGATGAAATAATATTATTAAACTATTAAAACTCTTCACACTTGCAAAAGATTCTTGTGATGCTTCTCCCATACCTGTGTAAGGTTTTCTTTCTAAAAAGTCTAATTCAATAAAGTATCGATTAATTATCGTAGTTTCATACAGCCACGACTGGCCTTATTTTGAGTTAAAGTAAAATTATAAGGTGGCAACACTAAGCTCCACGTCGTGAATAAAAAGGGCGGTCACTTGGCTGACGAGACAGTCTTCGTGCGTCAATCATAGAGGCAATTGCTCTTCGATGTAATTCCGTGTGTTCAACTAAAGTTGGTTAATATAATATAGTGAGGTAATTAAAACCTACGAAGGCATTATCATTTGTGGCGGCATCCTTACACCTGCGCGATAAAGTTTTGACTATTTATTGCGCTAAAATTAGCGTCAAAAATTTACTGCGCTAAAGGCAATTGGGTTGTACGATCCACAGAACACAAAATGAGGTTAGAAGGGCCTTGTGGGCGGGGGCGCGCCTCAGTTATGTTTGAGCAAATGCTCAGAACTTGACGAAAACTTTGTTCTAATTGCATCATTGCTCCCGGGTGTGAGCGCTGATTGGTTCGATTGTTTGAAGTTGCCTCCATCACTGTTTCCAGCCCTATTCCCCTACCCACTGGAAACCTAGAACTTTACTAACAAACAGGAACACAAAACTCCCAAAGGCAGATATCGTAATTTTATTGTGGTTTTCTATAAAGTGGGAAGATCTCTCTCTTTTAAATCGAATGTGTATAAATTTTATTATTTAAATATACGTTACTTCTAAATGATCCCGAAGCGTATGCACAGCAACAGAACAAAATAAATTTTGCAATCATTTTCAGTTCAATTTCCACACTAGTAATATTGCCGTTAAATTCACATCCATTTTACTGGTAGGTAAAAATAAAAGTAGAAAAATATGTCGCGTGACATAAAAAAAACAAGTTTTAAATATTTTGCGATATTAGTTCAAGATATTGGACTAAGACTAGTGGTGTTCCTTTAAAGCCGATATTGGCTTGAGCTTATTCTTAAAAATAGGTAGCAATTATAAAACAAGCGGAATTTAGTGCAAGCAATCTTGGCTTACTAGCACAGTTCACATTTTCATTTTTTATGTTTGATACGGTCAAGGCTTCGTAGCTGTTTACATTTTAATATGGATTGAGTATTCTTATCGCTTAGCAATAACAGCAATATGTGTTTAGTGAATATCCACAGTCATGTAAGTTATTAACTTTTGTCAGGCAACCACTACTATAAATAAAACCAGTGTAAATACATTATATATGATTTTACTTAAAATCTCTTGCTCGAAAAATATTGGAAACAAATAAACGGTGCATTACTTAAAAATAATAATACTTTACTTAAATCTACTTATCTATGAATCGATATAATGTTTTGTTTCAATAAATATTTCGTTTAAATTTTGGGGTTGAAAGGATAATTCACAGTATTTGAAAACCAGAGATGTGCATAAAAACAACTTCATAGGAAGCTGCTATTGAGCATACCTAATGAGTATCCCTAGAAATAAAACTGAATTTTTAAAAAAAATGTACAATATTTGAACTTTCTTACTTCTAGTCTAGACTTTTACTTTTTAAATAGCAGGTTAAGGACATTGTTATCAAATAAGATAATAATACACAAGTTCATAAACTTAAAAGCTGCAATGGTTATTTTTTAAATACAGACGTTAGCACAAATATATTCGCGCTAGAACCAAAGCTGTGCATCGTAACCCGTTCTCACTATTCTCCGATAAAGGTCCGGGACATGGATAGGCTGGTGACATATTCATTATCTTTAAGGTCACAGTTCTTTAGACCGACCCAGAACCCGACCAGCACCGCCTTAACTTATGTGGTTGATAGTCTTTGTATGGATTTTTATGGGTATACGCTCACTACATCAACTCCGTGCCGTCACCAGATTGCCTCGATCGCAAGCTATCCGCGCGCGGGTGGTAGCTGCACAACTCGGTGACAAACCGACTATATGTACTTTGCTTGCACGCTTGCCGTGTGCTGGCCGCTGGTTGTAAACACGCTGTTCCTGAGTCGACCATGCGCTACCCCCGATTTGACAACACATTTCATCTTCTTCTTCGTCAAGCGCGACAGCTATTTGAACCAATCCACGGTTTGTAAAATTAAACATTGTGAAACGACACTACTAGGTTTAAACACTGCTTCATTTTCGTTGAAAACGCAGAGTCAGCTACTATGCGATTCAAAGAAGAATAGGAAAGCCTCCATGTAACCTCCTGTCAAATGTCAGTTGAAAAGTACGATTTGCAAAAAAATCTAGGGAGCATTTTTTTAGCACTGAGCTAATCTATACTAATATTATAAAGCTGCAGAGTTTGTTTGTTTGTTAGCTAATCTCTGGAACTACTGGTCCCATTTGAATGATTATATCAGTGTTGGGTAGTCCATTTATCGAGGAAGGCTATCTACTATATATAAGTCGGGTTTTCCTTCCTGACGCTATAACTCCAGAATGCACTAACCGATTTCCACGGTTTTGCATTCGTTGGAAAGGTCTCGGGCTCCGTGAGGTTTATAGCAAAGAAAATTCAGGAAATCTACTATATAAAAATAAGTCGGGTTTTCCTTCCTGACGCTATAACTCCAGAATGCAAGAACCGATTTCCACGGTTTTGCATTCGTTGGAAAGGTCTCGGGCTCCGTGAGGTTTATAGCAAAGAAAAATCAGGAAAAATTTCGAAAAAAAAATCTTCTTTTAATCACCAAACGAAATGTTACATAAAACGAAGCCATCTGATGGCGAAACGGAGTTCGCCTGGTTTGCTAGTTGGCTATATATTTTTTTTTTCAAAATTAGGGATCCGTAATAAAATTGCTATTTTGTAACACAAGGTGTAAAATTGAAAACCTATTTTTGCGTGCGCTGCAAAAACTATTCACAATAGAACAAAATGATGTACTACGGGTTTGTAGATCCCATTAAGACCTACAAAAAAGTCCGCAAAAACATATATCTAGCTATCATGGTTTAATCACAATAACTGATTTTGTGTTCAAAATAATTATTAAATCGTCTGAAGAAAAAAAACTACGTTAAAATGTATCGTAATATTAATCGTTATCGAAATTAAGCATTATGTTATCAAGCGTATTTATGTAGAAGTAAAATACTTTTTGTTTCATCTCAATCGGATATTTCGTTTAAAAGTTATCACGTGTGTTAGAGGTAAGAGTTGGTACCTATTAATGAGTTATGGGCCATAGAGTTTTTTATCAACATAAAATCCTGTAATAATCTTTTTAGAAATATATTTGTTATAGAAACGCGGGTGAAACCGCGGGGCACGGCTAGTGTTAGAATATATACCAAACATTTGTAAACAAAAGAAGGAAATAAATCATATGTAACGTATATAAAATGAGTACTGGAAAAGGGAAGTATAAGAACTTTAGGTTTATTATAAATACAGGTAATAAAAATACCGTTTTTATTTTAAATAAAGTTGTCGTTTTAAAATCTACAATAATTGATATTTTGTTTATAGCCAAAAGCAGCAGTGATGATGATGATGACTACTTCGACGGTAGTGCAGAGATGAGCAGAATTACAGAGATTCTGATTAATGTTTTTATTATTAAAAATCTGATATTTTTTTCACTTAGTCTTGGTAAATAAATTTTATTAAAGAAAACACTTTTTTGCTCACTCTACCTAACTGGTTTGAATTGACAGCTATGACGTTGCAATATGGCGCCCAGTCAGTTCTATTTTTAGTTGAATCGCATTATACACCGCATTATTCACCCGTAGACCACCTGACGTTCACTGGTTGGATAACAAGGCGTCCATCCGTGGCTCACCCGACCTTAAGGGGCCCATATACGGAATGATTGATCTGTACGATCCGTTGTTTCAGACCGATCGAAACGATGGATCGACAGTGTATGTCAAGATCGTTAATGATTTACTTAATCGCAGACGATATCGGAGATCGCAACAAAAACCCATGCAATCATGAATATCGTAAACGATCGATCGTCAGTGTCCCATATACGGTACGATTCATCTGTACCAATTGTCTGTATTGATCTTAACGATTTCTTTCAGATCGATCGCAACGACGAATCGTTTACGATCAATCGTTTCGTGTATGTAGTGGCATTTCTGAACGATCGATCGTTGACGATTTCCTTCAGATCGATCGCAACGACGAATCGTTCCGTATATGGGGCCCTTTAGCTGCCGAGCCGAGTTTGCTCATCGACCACGAGTGAACGTCGCGTGACAAGACGGTGCCAGGTGGCTCTCAAGAGTTTGTGAGCTTTATCATGTTTTATAAAAAATAAAAAAAAACTCTTACCAGTTAGTACCTCCAATCAATCCTACCAATTCAGAGAATCATTTCAGAGTTATACCCGTTATAAGTAACTAAAGAAACATCTTCAAATTGTAAAATAAATTTAATTGTAGCACTCCTAAACAACAAGCTTTATTTTATGATTAATACGTGCAAAAAATAGAATTCAGCTCTATAACTTATCGTCATATTATATTCCACCTTCTTTAACACTGACTTTAAAAGTAGCAAGCTCACTTGCCGCTCTATGGCAACATTCATGTGGTAACTTTATATAATGTATAATACTCAGTTATATTTGTGGTGCAAATTAACTATCATTTTATGATTTCTGTTCACCGTTAAACTGAAGCAGCACTAACTCATACGTCACTATAGTTCCAGCTACCTGAAAAATTTACATCGACATATTATATTGCATATATATTATTAGCTTAAACACTTTACTGAAGTGTGTGCCCAGTATACAACACACACTTGCATTTATACACTATTATAATTATTAGTGATATGAATAATGATACTCTTTGGTTGTAGTCTGGATCGCCAACAGTTCAATATAGGGACTATTTGCTCAGGGAAAACACTGCGTCAAAAATGCAACTTCAGAACACTCCTTGTACCGAACACACCATTGACTTATAAAATAAAAGTTAATGAAACCTAAATGTTGAAAATACAAATGTATCTATATGGCTAATACATAAATAAAATAGAATTCCTCAATTTTGTGCAATAAAAGTTATTTGTAACATACAAATAATAAAAGCCCAAAAATCTGAACGTACTTTGATAATTTTTGTTATTAAGATATCTAAAGATTCGAGGAAGTTATATCTAGAATAGGTATTCTTTTAAAATATGTGCTGAATTAATTAGCTTTAAGTCAAATTCAATACTCACAGTTAAAATCAAACTTTTGGTTACATAAAAGAATTGAAGTCCACTCAAAGCCACGGTACTGCCATGAACTTGCTCAATAAATCTTTGTATCTGTAAAGGAAAGCAAGATGTAAATGACAATTATCTCAGAGCAAGGAAGGAAAATAACAATACGTTTTCACTTTCCATCGCATATTGTTTTGTCTACGCTAGTGTTTTGTTCGGCGTTGAATCTATTCAAACTATAGTACCCAAATATGTTTTCATGCGAGAATTCTGCACTTTACATAATAATTTTGACAAGTAAGCTTTACAAATTAATCAACTCTATCTAAATAGAAATACTTATCCAATGACAACTTTTGCAACCAAGATACGGAATAGCTTAGACATCCTAACACCTCGTTTTCACCAAGAAACAAACTTGTTATAAACCAAATTTGTTGAATTCTTTTTTCTATACATGTATTGTAATTGTCTCATACATTGTTTTGTTCATTTTGTTCACACTGTGCAAGTATTTATACAAGTTTAAAACTCATCGATGTTTACACTTATGTCTGTGACATTGTCAAACTTATCAGATACATCGATAGCGTTCTCACCTACAAAATACAGTCGTGTTTTAAACAAGTCTTATTTATTTTATTGAAAGTTTTGTAGAAAACTAATCACAAACAAGTTTAATCTTTTATCCATGCTTGTTGGATAAAGTTACATTTTACCGGATGGATCGCGGTTTTATTGAAAACTAGGGAAGAAGATAAAGATAAATGGAGTGGTCAAAGAAACAAACTTCAGATCTCATTGAGCTCTTGCATCTATAAGAATGCCTGTGGAATGTGAAGCATGATCTTTATAAAGATCGCCAGTAAAAAAAAGACGCATTGGCGGATATGATGTTGTTAAAAAAACAACAAACATTAAGCATCTTTAATAGGGCAATCAATAAAACAAAAAGTAAGCTAGGATATGGTACTGATGATATATTGTCAGCCTCTGATATGCTTTTAAACCGTTAGGTTTTATAAAAAGTAATAATTTACCAAAACCAGCTAGGAGCAGCGATGGTATATTTGAGTGATCTTTTTAATTTTAACATACTTTTCAACCTCTCCGAACGCATCCTACACACATGAAGTAAAGTTCTGCAGCATCTTCACTTTCAATTGTCACAGCAGGATTTTTTAGTAGATAATATAAAAACCTGGATTTAAATTGAGTCGTATACTACAAGTATTCTCAAGTCTTGTATTCAACAAATTCATCTGCAACATGTAGGTATAAAACATGTCATCGTATTTGTAGACAACTAGAAGCGGAACTTGTCAAAAACTCATTCACCGCATCCAACAAGTTTCATACAAGTTCTGTATACAACAAGTTCTAGAGTGAGAAGAACAAGTAATGAAAATATTTCATTAAAGTTGTCATACATACATGTACAAAATACATGTAAAACCCCTTGGTGAAAACGAGGGGTAAGGGCCACTTGCGCAGTCCAGAGCTAAGAGTAAATTCTGACTAACTATTTAATCTGACAAAATGGGTGGATGGGTTAATTCATATCCTTGGGTGAGTCATGGCTCACGGGTATGCCACAGATTAGTGGAATTATATTTAAGGTTCATAGTCTATAACATAGAGCCCATAGAGCGTAAAAAATACTAAGCACAAAGAACGCACGAACCGCAGATATAATTTCAGTAATTTAACTGTGACACATCCGAGGTTATCAATCTGTGTTATCAATTTAACCCAACAATTTCGACGGGTTGAATAGTTAGTATTTAAGTAAAGAATTTGCACTTTCGGCACTGCAAGGTGATTATCATATATTTAGTACGGTGAATTACATTTCTATTCAAGAAACAAAATCATGACAAAACCTAGATGACTGATGATAGCATTATCAAGAGAGCAGAATACCTGACTTTGTGAAGTATCTCGAGAAAGATCAGTATGAGCGATATCAAATAAATTGATGTAGGCTAGGCAGATTATGTAAAACCCCATACTAACCTCAGTACAGTAAACAGTAGATGGTAAGTTGTACAACGACGGTGCTATAGCCAGAGATGCAGAGTGAATGTTGGCTGCATTAAGTGACACAGCCAAGAATCGACACAGCAGGAACACAGAAGAAAATATGAAATACACCAGTGGTTCATAACCACCAAAAACTCTGTAAATAGAATATAATAAAACAATTTGAAACAGTAGTTCTTTTGGGTTAACATATTTAATTTCTCTCTTTGTCAATTGTCCTCGCATATTTTCATAGTACTTACAGAACCTCGTGTAAGCCTGGACATTTCATAATCATGTTTCCTCGAACTCCATGGCTATAAATAAAAATGTATTTATAATATTTTCGAAATGTCTTCCGAAATAAGAATAATTCGTTTAACGTTATTCCTAAAACTGGAGTTATTGAAAGCTAAAGTGAGATTGTATTTATTACAATCGCCCTACAGGAAATTAACTGCGTAAGGCGCGATGGTATTTTTGGGGTGCAGGGTAACTCTAATGAATGGTGAGCTTTAAAAAGCAGTCGACACTCACGAAAATATATAAAACAACTGTAGACAAATGAAGAAGAGGTTTGTCGCAAATGATAGAAGCATGATCCCGCTGATAGCATTATCGAAGGAAGAGATCAAGCGTGTAGCTCTTGTATAGTCGGCGCGTAATGCACTCCAGAATGACGGCTGATAATACTGTGAATCATGTATCAACATTAGAAAATTAGGAGAAGAACATCTTAAGGATAGATAAAACATTTGGTACATTTAAGAACTTATACTACAATCCTGTTTCCGCTTAAAAAAAGATTTTCGTAGATTAGCCTAAGAGTGGAGAAGAGGAATATGAGAAGAGAGTGGAGTAGTAGAAACCACCCTCAACTGGTAGTTTCAAGGTAGGTAATGAGCGAATGATATTTCCCGTTCTCGTAAAGCTGAGAACTCATGGAGCAGTTTTTAGCCTCACTCGCCGTGGGCGACCGCGCAGCTCTTTTATTTCAAAACTCACGAGATCGCAGCTTTCTGCGGTCTTGATGCCGCCGCGTCAGCAGATGATCATGCGTCCCACGGGCTCCCGCCGCATGCAAATTAAACAACCACCCGATCAGCAGGCGTAAATCGCGTCATGATATTTTAAATTTTAACTACAAATTCATATTCTGCGTGAGCTGTGATCACGCAGCCACGGTAGGCGTGGGCAAAAACCTCTCCGTGAGTTCTTAGCCCAAGTGTCTACAGACCATGTCGCCGCATGTCCTTAGGTAGAACATATAAATACTCATAATAGGATATACTTGCATACACATCACAAAGTTTTATCTGTTAATGCGGATTGCTTCTACTGGAAGTGAAGAAAAAAACAAGTGGTTCAAAAGTATAAGTTTACCTTCTGTTCTGCTTCCACGATGCTTTTGTTTATTTTCCTCAATATGGCCTCTAAATAATTACTCATACACACCATGAAAACGTCAGAGTAGCTCCAATTTATTGTTGTACAAAAATTCACAAACTGGAAGAAAAGAATTCTTAAGTAGCATGTAATCCAGGTAAGACAAATTAGAAAATCCATACTAATAATAAATGTAAAAAAGTTCCTGTCTCCTCTTTACGGTTTACCACTGAGTCGATTTTTAATGAAATTTATAGAGATAAAAATCATATTATTTTAATAACTTAAACATACCCGTATATATCCCAAAAAAATGCGGTAGCATGATATAAAAAACACATTAAACGACATCAAGCGCATCTTATGTGCATTGCCTTCTATTAAGAAAACCTTAAATTATTCTAACCACTTGATCTTAAATTATCATCGAATTTAAGTTAATTGAAACTGAAATCCCTTGGCATCGTAATGAAATTTTAAAACAGATATTTAAATTTTGGAAAACGACAAACACATAAAAAACTTTCTGCTTTCAAATATTAAAATATAAACTGCAGTGCTATTCTGTAGGAACAAACTAAATTTTCACCTCTGAATCCTCGGTGTAACTTAAAATTAGGTGTAACTAAAAAAATTCTTCAAATACGTTTCAAATCACACCGGGGAATTCTGCGGTGCCAAGTGAGTTTGTCCTTACAGAATACACGGATTGTACAGTACAGCTTTACTACTGTATTTCGTAGCATACAATGCATTCTGTAAATTCATAGGTTTAAAATGTATTTCACTAAAACCTTTATTATTTTTAAGGCGATTTAAAAAAAACTTTTTTCTCGAGGGACTTCAGTTTGAATTAACACAGATCTGACGCTAATTGGAGGCAATATATGTTTTTTTTAAACGCGTAAGGAACTTTTTATTGTGTATATAGATTTAGTATGCATTTAAAGTGTTTTTATTATTTTGGTGGTATTAATGCTCGGTTTCCACCTCCACAACATAAAAAATCCAATAAGTCAAGTTTTTTATACAGAAATTAATTTATTATTAGATTATAACAATTTAAACTTTAATATTTAACAGAATTACGTTGATCATAGCCGAAACAATAAAATTCTGTTTTTCGAAAGTAATTCTTGCTTTCATGTAGACATTGCATTATAATTGGTATGTTTAAGTCCACACTCTAGATATAGTAAAAAAATGAATTTCACCTGCAAAAATATACCAGTTGATATGTGGAATGGCAAATCTAATTCTCTGTACCAAGGGAAACTTAGGTCAATGAAGTTTTTGTAGGCAGTGTTGTTTTGTTGGGGGCACACGCTTGATTCAGCATATTTTGTGTTCAGAGATAATAGATGTTCCACTGTAATTACAAAAGAAAATATTTAAATGCTTTTTTATTCAGTTTATACGAAATTAGTAAGCTTTTATTCATTTATGACTTTCCTCATATCTACATAATTTAGTTTTCATTGCAGTCTTTTTTGCTAGAGACCTAGTACCGATTTCAATTGATTAATACGGTTCGTTTATCGAAAATATTCTCTTCTTTTTAACTGAATACCGAAATTTGGATTCTGTGCCAAGTTCCAATTAGGTAGCACTTCCAATTAAAATAGAACGAATAATTCGAGTTTTATTTTCAATCATTGGTTGACTCATATAATATTTTTTTCTTCTTTAATGAAATTTGATATTTATCAACCTAGTATTAGCTATATGGTCACTAATTTATCGATAGTCTAAAATTTTAATACTTAGTAAAAACGTAAGTAATGCATACGATACTAATTATGCTAGTACACTGCGCTTCCTGGTGCGAAGTCGCCATTGAAGCACCTTGGGACAACATCTATCTTCACCAAACAATGTGCCTCACCCATTTCCACTTCAGCTTGGCGTTCCTTTGAGCTACATCGTTTATTCTAGTTCTGCTACGGATTTTCTGATTCGATCGCGTAGAGAAAAACCGAGCATAGCTTCCTCCATTGCTCGCTGTGCGACTCTGAGCCTGCCTATATGTCATCACTGGCAACACGCACTGTTCGAAGACCTGTTGTCTTTAAGTACTGAGGTATTTCGGACGAGAAGACAATTCGGAGTTTTCCGAATGCTGCCCAGCGCAGGCAGATGCGGCGGTTCACCTCATTCTCAAACATATATATTATATATACACATATATATTAGATATTTAAATATCTTTGATTATTTATACCCTTAATACCGAATTTACTGCACGGAAGCGGCATAACAAATGTCTACTACATAGGTAGATATGCTCGTCGCTACAAACACATACATTGACTGCTTTGGTACAATCTGACATTAGAATCACGCACACTTTGCTCGTAACATGAGCAGCAATTTATTTGGATTTTTCCATCTAGGCGTATAAATAATCAAAGCTCTTGGATCCAGCGATAGTTGATACGGCACCTCTGTAAGGATCTCAACATAGCCCATGTTTCGACCGAATCAAAGACTTTCTCATAGTACACAAACGCTAAGCATAGTGGTAGGTTATATTCTTCGGTCTTTTGTATAACCTGCCGCAGCGTGTGGATGTGGTCTTTGGTGCCTTTCCGGGACTCTGCTTTTTCGGGAGGCTGGAAGTCGTCTAACCTATTAGCGAGATGGTTCGTAACGACTCTCGGTCACTTGCAGATGCGGCGGTCATCTAATGGGTCTGTAGTACATGAAAATGTGTTGTCACCTGATTTGAAGAAAAGTACCACCTCGTGCCATGAATCTCCGTGAATTACGGAATTGAACAATCGCTGAAAGATTTTACGTACTTGTTTTCCACCTGATTTCCCGTTCTGCTGTGATTGCGTCATCCCCTGACGCCTTGTTCTTCTGCTGTTGTTTGAGAGCATTACTAATCTTAGAGTGTGTGCTGCATTAAGCGGGGCACGGGGCGGGTTTTTATGTCATTTCATAGAAACCCGTGACGCAGAAGACCTGCCTCACTTAGCATTCCTCTACAAAATAACGTGAAACAAACACGCGGAGCGGTCACCTGCTTCGTGCCGTGCTTCAGCCTATATTAGAGCGTGCGCAGCGCACGCTCTAATATTTAGTACAGTGGCGGGTTAATTCATCTCTGGGGTCTTTAGCCAAATCATCGAGAGGTTTTTTGTGTTATTAGTATTTCAGTCCATAGAAGTTCTCGACCTCCCTCGACATCTCAGGCTTCTTGGAAATAAGACTACCGCTTTCGGTCCTTAGCCGAGACAGCTGACGCTGTCCGATAGGCAGATCTCTCACAAACACTTTTGTGTCTTCGTTGTTTTTATGCTTTAATCCTTTTGGTATTTAATAACCTAAGGTGGCGTGACTGCGGCCTCCTGCATCCACTGAAGACTGTAGTCTCATTTTTTGTCTCTTTCTCATGAGTCCGAGAATGTAGTCAGAGAACCTCCGTTGTCCTTTAGTTATGTATAAATACTTACGTAATGCCAAACTAAGAAAGAGTACGCTAGTCCAAATCAGTTGAGGCTGGACCTTCAAATCAACATATTTATCTAAAGACGAGTTGACGAGGTCTTTCATCAGAGCAGGCCATTTGTAGGCTACCCTCAAAAATATGATTGTTGTCATTGACGTTGAAACGTAGAAAGTCACAAAAGCTGAAAAAAAAACATCAATAAATTAATTGCGGGTTCGAGTCCCGTCTGCTGCCTGGTTCGCGTGGAATTTTTTCTAGTTATATTTTCTTTAGATTTAAACATCAAGCAGTTACATGCTTTAAAAATAATCAAAATATAACTATAATTGCTATCTCTTCTTTCAAATGTTTAATACTTGTAAAAGTATTCATTTGACATTGTGGGTTTACCTATAATGCGAAGAGATGGCGTTGCCTTGCAGCTTAAGAATAGCTAGAAGGAATTTCGACGCGGTCCGTGAGGGCCGCGGTAGCATAATTGGTCAGTGCATTCGCCCGGATTGCGAAGGGTGCGGGTTCGAGTCCCGTCTGCTGCCTGGTCCGCGTGGAATTTTTTCTAGTTATATTTTCTTTAGATCAATAAATTAATTTTTATTGTAGATCTAAAAGGGAGATAGCTATATTTATTTGAGCTAAAACTGCTTGATATTTTTGTGTTTCTTTTATGAGTAAGCGTTTTCTTAAATTGAAATATTAAAGATAATATTGCAAAGTAGTAGTAAATATTCACACATATATGTTACAAGCGTAAGGTGTTTAAAAGTACACGATGTTATTTGTCAAAATAGCGTTAAGATAATAATGAAATAATAATTACATATAATAGTAATAGATATAGTATGCCTGTATATTCGATACATGCAAAGAGCTGCCATTGAAGTTTGCGCCACGAATAGTAGACAACTGTATACAAATCTGACAGATATATATTTGAATCTGAAATAAATGGGAAAGTTTGTAAAACAATTTCTAAAAGCGAAATAAGGCGTTCGGTCTTTAGTGAGAATATGATGACTATTGATGGATAAATGATTGGGATACTGACAAGAAATTCGGCAAGCATTTCTTATCTGTCTGTATATCTCAGATGTTACTTTATTGAACGTCATTGTTATTCAATATTTTTGTTTTTGGTTATTAATAAAATATGCTATACCTCATTTTAGCAGTGTCTAATTCCAGAGCACCTATGACGGGGTTCAGTCCTATAAATTGGCCACAAACAAGCATAATCTTCATGGACTTTTGGAACAACTCCAATTGATTGCGAGGCTCTTTAGAAAGTTTTTTTAGACTGGACGCAACTAAAATGCAATTTATTGTTAGTTAACTTACGCGTATGACAAAAATGAAACATATACATTTAAAGGAAGAAGGAACTAAAAACCATTTACGTTCAACGACACTATATAGGTAAAGATAGTCAAAAGCACATCGATTTACCACTAATATCAAATTGAATTAAAGACAATATTCGCGCTTGAAAAGCAAGCAATCCTACTTCCTTCTACGTCTATACTTATTTATCCTTCTAATATGATAAATGTAAAAGTTTGTATGTTCATTGTTTACTCAAACACGCAAAAACGTGTGAACGAATTTGAATGAAAAAATTATAATAAAAAAAGCGAGTGTGCTTTTGACCACACGACTGAAGTGACACTTCTTTAACTCCAATGATCTGAAAATCATAAACTTAACCTGAAGATTTGTTGATAGAAAAAAAAACCACCAATCCGCACTGGGTCCGTTATCACCCTCCAATTCGCACTGGGTCCAATATCATCCACCAATCCGCGCTGGGTACGGTATCACCACCATACCGCGCTGGGTCCGTTATCACCCACCGATCCGCACTGGGTGCATTATCACCACCCATCCGCGCTGTTTCCGTTATCATCCACCAATCCGCACTGGGCCCGTTACCACCCACCAATCCGCACTGGGTCCATTGTCACTCACCAATCCGCGCTGGGTCCGTTATCACCCACCAAACCGCACTAGGTCCGTTATCGCCCACCAATCCGCGCTGGGTCCGTTATCAACCACCAATCCGCACTGGGTCCGGTGTCACCCATCAATCCGCACTGGGTCCTTTGTCACCCACCAATCCGCGCTTGGTCCGTTATCACCCACCAATCCGCACTGGGACCGTTATCATCCATCAATAACGCGCTGGGTCCCTTATCACCCACCAATCCGCACTGGGTCCGTTATCACCTACCAATCTACGCTGGGTTCGTTATCACCTACCAATCCGCGCTAGGTCCGTTATCACCCACCAAGCGCTAGTATTTTGATTCATGAACTATTCATGTATTTTGTGACGGATATTGTTCATTGTTTACCGATGAGTACTGTGTTACGCGCGTAACACAAAAATCGTCACGCATTCGCCAGTTTACCCCCCAAGTCAAGCGTGCCTAAAGAAGTTTCACATCAATAATTAAATCCTTTAATTTGGCATATATTTAGTTTATTAGCTGGCATGAGACAAAGGATACTTTTCATTCCGGAAAAATTAAATATTCTTGTGGGATCCTCCAAAATCTAAAGTTTATGCTAAATAAAACTAGTTTTTACGGGTTAATGCACGAAACTTTATTTATTTATTGACGTTTCGTTTTATGCTAAAGTTACGGGAGGACGAAGCGGGCGAAGTCACGGGCGGCCGCTGGCACAAAAAATACGATATTTTAGTACCTGTTTCATTTAAAAAATACACTTACCATGTGACTGAAAAAGCCCTTTAGTATTGGGTCGAATGAAGTTGTCGCTTATCGTTTTTATGTCCCTGTAATAAAATTGAAGTCTTTTAAAGTTTTATTAATTTTATCGTAACAATGTAGGTAACGCTATTTGAAAAGACTGATCCCACCAAAAACATTTTCACATAAAGTATTGCTAAGGCAAAAACATATTGCTTGCAATGTAGCATCCCATACCACAAGCCTTATAGTGCTTACTTTGGGGCTAGGCTAATTGGTGTGTGTTGGAAATATATATTATATATATTTCCAACACACACATATATAAAACAGATCTTATGTAGAGCAAAGTTTCTAACTCTACAAGACCTAACTCTACAAACTGTACACCAAAATCAAAATATGAATAAAATGAAATATGTGGTTTAGCCATTTCGCTACATTCACATGGGTAAGGTGAAAAATGTATCCACTGTTAATTAATTTTCTGTTATACAATAGTTCTTGTAGTAATGTGCTCTATAGAATAAAATCGGTCACCCTCTAAAAATAATTATAATGACAATGATTTGGGTGCATATAAAACTTGTTTTAAGTCAATTAATATTTTGGCTCTGACAGTCCACGATATTCAAAATTAATATCGTTGGCTCAAATTACTCTATTTGGTATTTGATCCAAAAACCTATATCCGCTTGGGCAGGCAAAAGGTTGAATTCTCGGTCTAGGTGTAATCTGATTTTATCAGCCCAAATTCATTATCATATTTAATCAGGCCAAAATTATGTATGTGTAATTTTAGCTAAATTGAATTAACAAAAATAAAGATTTTCTTATTACCTTTCCTTAGAATCCACACTATTTGATATCTGCTCCTTGAAATTTAGGATTTCCAATTCTTTGTAAAGTTGCAAGTTTGAGCGATCTGTTTAGAGATAAAAAAGTTTTGCTTATTGCTTTGCAAAACAATCAGTTCTTTTCAATCACAAAATAGATTTTTTTCATTTTAAATAAAAGAATGCTGTATTTTTATTTTTTTAGCATTTAGCTGTTAAACGTTTAAAGATTTAAGTCTAAAGATAATTTCACTCAGTGCATGTTTCAGACGGGATAAAAAATATATTATAAAAGTGACATTCGATTTTCGTATAGGTATTTAGTTGTTGATTGATACAAACAATTATGGTGAATTGATTACTTTATTAATATTACAGTTTACCTCCACTTCGTCCAATAACAGCACTCCTTTGTATCATCTTTGATTTTGAAGTGTTATTCCATGAGACAATGAGTTTGAACTAAACCAAAGCGTCACTATGTTCGACGAGCCTTTTATGAGTCATGAATATTTTATTAGCTCGCCCATAAAATGACACCTAAAATTAAGTAAACGTCTATGTACTTATTTAGTGGACGATGTCATTCGATTTCTAATCTTGTTTTGATTATTCTGTTTACAGTGTCCTCGAACAGCAGCATTTTCGTAAGTTAAAATTATTTTTTGGAGTGTTTATCTGTTTTTTAGATTGACATTTAAGTACTTCTGTAAGTAGATACGTGGTTAGTGTTTATTTTTCTAAGGATATAGAATATAAACCTCGTACTGAAAACTTTATTTTTGTCGACGTCACATTGGAACTTATCAAAATGTGTAAAATAACTGTACTGAATTATTATTTCTACCTTTATTTAAAACACCTAAAGCCAAAAAGCAATTGTTTTGATTTATTCAATCAATTGATCAGCTATGAATTACGTGCTTTGCTTTGATATTATTCTTGAACACAAATATTTGGTTTCTGTACAATCAAAAATATATGAATACTAACATTTCGTTCAAACTGATAGTTTAAACGGTGAGTAATATTACAGTGGGCTGGCCATATTTGCCGAAGAACCGATAACCGTTGGGGTAGACGAGTTCTGGAGTGGAGACCGCGTCTAGGCAAACGTAGTGTAGGACGTCCTCAGGCACGATGGAGTGACGATTTGCGCTAGGTGGCTGGCAGGAGCTGGATGCGAGTAGCCCAAGATCGATCTGAGTGGCGTGCAATTGGAGAGGCCTATGTCCAGCAGTGGACTAGGATAGGCTGTTGATGATGATGATGATGATGAAGATTACAGGGCTCCACGGGGTAGGGGATTGTGTTAAAGTAGGCAACGGTGCTAGTAATATTGTTGGTATCGCAAGCGTCTATAGGATAAGGTAGCCGCTTACTATCAAACGGGCCATACGCTTGTCCATCATCCTTTTAACATTAAAAAACTACACATATCATTCATATTTCATGATTACTTACGATTTGGTGTTAGTTTTTATGCAAAACTGAATGGTTGCCTTTCCATCTATTATTCAACGGTAATAGTTACTGAAATTAGCTTTATCTGTGGAAAAAGATGGGGCATTCCACGTTTATGCAATTGTAAAATAATAATTAGCGCTCTCCCATATGCAAACTTAACTAGGGATAAAAAAGTCGCATTTTTAGTTTGAGTTTAATAATCTTACTTAATAATGTTACTGTTTACATACTAGTCATAGTGACAAATTTTTATAATTCGATGTAAATAAATATATAAGTAAATTTTGGAAAGAGAATGGGATTTAGAACGGAGGGCGTTGTAGTGCTTTTCTACCGTATTTGTAAAGTTTTACCCCTTTTAAACATGATTAAATACAAAAAACCGCAAGAAATCACAACAACAAACAAATCCGTATCAATAAAAAACTTTGACGTTTTACGTTTTATAGATTGCTGGGTTTGATTGCCAAATAAAAATTTAATGTTAGTTCCGTTTTTCGCCACGCCCATTCTCTTTCCGCACAGACTCTACAGAATAAGATAAATAATCTTGAAAAAACCTAAAAGACTCAGATAGCTACTTTATTAGCTTTCAATATACAAAACTCAGTTATACATGGTATAACAAAATCTATACAACAAAATTGTGTAAGTGTCAGCACTAACACAAATATTTATACAAACTGAGGGGTGCGACAACAGCCAAATCCAACAAAATAAATATTATTTATTTAAATATTCAAGGTTTGGCTGGCAAGGATTTAGAATTATAACTGTTTGCAAGAGCCAGGATATTCATGTTATCTGTTTATCTGAACACTGTCTTAAGTCTTTTGAGGTCTTTTCGCATAAACAATTTTCATATGATAACTGCATAAGTTCGTACTACAGCTATTCATGGCGGCAAGTAAATTTTTGTAAATACAAATATTGGTTCCACGCTGGGGTTTGTTGGGTTACAAAATGAGAAAATGACCGGAGGACTTTGGAAATAAAGGAAAGACTTACCCTTGTCGTGCACGTGCTCCGGGCAAACTTTCTTCAATAGAATATTTACTGAATGGTTCCTGTTTCTTGTCCTGGAGGCCTCCTTGATTGAACTGAACGCATTAGCTTCATAGTGTTAGCTGCTTTCACAACTGTTTATATATAATTACAATTATAGCATAAGGGATTATCAAACCCGAAAAGATGGACGGATACGTTGATTTTTCATCGGCGCATTGATAAGTGTGCCATTTAAGAGAAAGGTATAGTCACGCAATGAGTGCGAGGAAAAAAGGAATCATCTGCTCATTTGCGTTTCGATAACATGAACTTGTATTTTATTTATTTATTTTATTCACAAAAGTATTAAATCTGTGGGATTCTCAAACAACTAAAGCTAACACGGACCAAATCGCGCTAGCAGAATAATAAATAGATGATTGGAAATTTTATTACAGATTTAGTTGAACCTCTCCCATTGGGACTATATCAGAGAATTGCTATATCATATTCTGTCCAGAGTTTAGATACGAAGAATTAGCATAGAGCGTCGACAGATATTGAAATGTAAATGGGGGTCCACTATGAAACTATGGGTCGATAGAATATCATAAAGGGCGACCCTTTCGTATTGGAGGTACATCCAACGATTTTGATTACTGGGTTCCTACGTGATTAGCATCTAACCGATCTTGGAAAGGTCCGTCTGTTAAATTCGGTGACACGATGTAGATTTTCATTGAATCAACATTGTTATCAGAGACTCAGACACGGATAATAATATTTAATACCTACTATACAAGTACTCAGATTAATAGCGATGATGGCAGGGTAATGTAAGCGAAATTATGTTTAGTCCATCCGTTAGATTATAAAAAAACAATGAACATTATTTCTTTTGTCAATGAATCATAAAATTACAAAGTTTAAGCGTTTTATAGTTTCGGAGCGGGGTTTCGTGATGTCACTTCTAAATAAAAATTGTACCAAGACGTGACGTCATGTGACATTTAATCAATATATCTATGTAATGTTTTGATTGTGAAAACATAAAAAATACATATCCATTACTTTTTGATAAACTACCTGATACAAGAAGAAGAAAAAGTGTTATCGTCCCTATTCTGCCATTTATGTAAGAATTTGTTTGACGTTAATTTGTTTTTTTTTTATATTTCTTGATTGTTTTGTTTATGTATGTTCATGTCTTTATACATTGCGTGATTGTGTTTTTTTTTGCTGACAATATAACCTTCTTAGCTTTACTAATAATATAAATATTATACAATTATTCACCATCAATAATTCCATCCTAACAAAATATTCCATTCGAAATAGAAATATTGTAAAAAGTATCCTATTTAAAAAAATACATAGCAAAGTTACTATTTACTTAGTAAAGTCCAAATGATACTTAAAAAAGTACTTTCTTTATTATATTTATATTTTTTAAACATTTGACTAGATGTTTAAATCTAAAGTAAATTTTACTTGAGAAATTTTTTATTGGTTTTTTTTTATAAATAAATTCTTATTCGCTTTATTATTTTTAATATGTACAGTACAGTTAACCGTACTTTTTTAACACTATTTTTTATTTTAAAACTTGAAACGAAAATAAATACTACGAAAGCGTTCCGCAAACCCTGGACACTGGCACTGACGTGTGACTGCGTACGTGACAGGCAGCCGGTGCTCACTCATATACGTGCGCCGCGCCGTGCTTGTAGTAGTGAAACGATCGCAACGCGGTTGTATGAAGCTTTGTCTCTGTACGTCTTTTTACTCATGTGGTTTAACTATCTGTATTAATTTCACGCCTTATGGAGATATTGGTTGAATTGAAGAAAGACACAACGTTACGTTGAAATCAATCAAATCACGCCTTTAGGGGATGTAAGGTTCTATAGGAAATCAATTATTTATTTGGTAATCCTATGCATACATGTATTAAAAATAACAAAAAATTTATGATACTTGAAAAGAAAAACCACTCGATCCAGGTTTTAGGCGGGATTCGAACCCGCAGCTTTTTATGCTACCCAGACCTTAATAGCATGTCAAATTTCATCCAGTACTTCTTAGGCTACAATTCCGCCCAGATAGCGGAAAATGCGGGTTCGAATCCCGTCTAAAACCTGGACCAAGAGGATTTTTCGTATTAATATTTTCTTTAGAATTAAATATAGATGCCAAAAATTGTAATTGTATGTTAAAGCTAGGGTTCCTGTGTATTTGCCGGTTATTGTTGTTCTTTTTCTGTCTTTGTATACTGCCTCATGTTATTTGTCCTTTCTTGCTGTCAATGTCATAGTTGCGCACAGGCATGGATCGCCAGTAGATTACTAATAAGTTTGCAATTTATTTAATTTATTTCTTTGTTTTCTTCTTTTGTTTTTTAGGTTCCAGTCTGTAGTCTGTATCCCACAGATAAATCATTCTTTTTTTTTGTAAGGCTAAGGATGGTGAAAAACATTCAGCCTACGTTGTTATTATATTTTTTTTTTATGTGTGTGGTTGTTTATTTTACTATTGTTTAAAAATAATAATCGGTGTCGTCAACCTTAGGCCCTGCCAGAATCATAAGCGCTGCAGCAGTCTGGTGTTGCTGTAGTATCAAGCTGTGGCAGGGACCTAGTTGGCCAAAATTTTTTTTTATTTTTTTTATATATGTTTAACAATACTTTATGGTCAATTTATTTCTTTCTAATAAAATTTATTTCTTTGTTTTCTTTCTTTATTATAAAAATAAAATATAATAATGAACAAAATCTTCATTCGTTAATTATGAACTCCGACTAATATTCATATGAAAACCCAACTCAGGAATAACTAGGTTCATTATTTTATTATTTTTCAGGGGGCCCAGATTCTTCCAAAGAGACAGTGAAAGAAACCGAAATGAAAGTGTATCCGGCGAAAACTGGAGGAAAAAATTTCTATTTCACTACAAGAGTTATGTTCTTGTTTTGCAAATGCTCCGGATTATTTCCCGTAAATGGTTTATTGCAGAAAACAAGCCGGTCCTTGGGGTAAGTTAAACTGCTTTTCGAGGGATATTAATGTAATGAATTTCATAATGTTGTTACAATGCATACCTATAGGTAAAAAAAATACACTTAAACTATATTTGATCGAGTCTGAATAAATTTGAAAGACAGAACAAATCTCAAGTTAATTTATTTATTTATAAAAAAATTAAGCCTTTTTAGAAAAATATCGCGATGGGCTGGGATTTTTGCAACCATAGCACTTAAATCTAAATAGAAAAAATACAAGTAAGTTGTTGCCTACTTTGTCTGTGTAAAGCATAATGCATTTTATAATAGCCGTTGAAATATTGCCAAGTAATATGCGAAAAAAGCAATAAATATTTAATAGCTATTGAAAAATTTTCATCTACATTAAAATTTATGAAATCTATAGTTCGAAATAGCACGACACCCGAGTAACGAAGACAAAATACAAAACTCTCATAGTCGTTTAATGTAAGCCGAATTGAAAATCTGACGAGACTAGGTGTTAGTTGTGACAAATTGATTTATGACCCCCTCGGGAGCGTCAAACCCAAAACTTCGAGCATAGCTAAACTTCAGGCGAAGTTTGTCACCTCTGTTGCCTACATCATCGTCACAAATTACGAAATGTCACTGTTCAATTTGGAACTTTACTATCTGTAAGTCGTGACGATTGAACGATACCACGTATCTCGTTGATCCCAAAGTAATCGCGGGGTAAGAACTTATTTACCTATTATCTATATGTGTTATGGAAATTCGTAACGGTGGTAAGCTTATCACGTTTGATCGAAACTTGTTTGATCAACATGGAATGGCTAAAACTTCATCACTTTCGAGTTCTGGTCTAGTCTGGGGTGCAGGTCCTATGAAAGTTAGGCCACTGTACGTGACTCTTAATCCTTTTCACCGCGGTCTAATCAATATATCCCCTACGCAAATCATGTGTTATAATTTCATCATAATTTATGTTAAAGTACTTAATTTTATGTAAATAGACAATATTCGAGGACATCTTTCAAACTTTTGAATAACTTTGATGAAAGGCGACATTTATTTGTCTACAAAACAAAACATGCTTACAAAATCTTATGAAGATTTTGATAGCACTCATTCACTTATGCTAAAATACATATATAATGGAATTTAGAAATAATTTCAGCCAATGAGTCCTTAAATGCCTTGCAATGAATTGATATATAATTAAGATAATTTTCTTTACAGATTCTCCTGGTTTTCTATAAATTTTATTTTGTGCGCAATCAGTATCATTGCGCAATACACTTTACTGATTGTTTTCACACACAGCTGCTTGAATTTCGATACTATATCCCAATATTGTAAGTTTATCAAAGTTTTACTCTAATTTTAAAAGCAAGGAACTCTATGTTATAATTGTAAACGTGCATTGATCTGCGACTTAGATAGAGAGATTAGATTATGATAGGAAACTTTCGTACGGGCGTTAATAAATAACTGTCTCTTATCCAGATAATTTCATTGCAACAATGAAATTATTTGATTAAGGGACATTAGTAGTAATAATAAAATTCTATGCAATATTGCATATAATATTACATACTTTCAATCCTAAGCAGTAAGAATACGTTTGCTATGGGAATCAGGAATAACTTGCCAGTTCCCTTGGTAACGTCATTTTTCTCTAGACTTTCTTTCTTTCCTATAGCAGAATGCTATTATCTGCCTATTAATGTCTACATTGCTGGGGCACAGGCCTTCCCTATAGACGGAATAGGGTGATTGGGCCATGACCCACCACGCGGGTCCAGTGCGGTTTGGTGGGTGCTAACGACTGTGGATGCAGCCGGGACCAACAGCTCAACATGCCTTCCGAAACATGGAGGAGCTCCAAATAATCAGTTTTCGGTCACTGGACTGGCTATTGCAAAAGTAGCTTAACTTTCACAATCGCAAGCAAAACGCGCTAACGACCTGCGCCATTGAGCTCCTCCAGGACATACAGCTTGAAATATCTTCCACTGCATGAACGAACTAAAGATAAAATATTTTTGGACACTCATACTATGTTACTTAACATCCACGATCACAAACGCGCTGACCACTGACCCATGGAACTCCTTAATAATAAATCCAATCTAATTAATCCAATCCAATTAAATCCTTTAGATAAATGTTACAATTATTACGAATATACAGAACTTCGAAACTTCATACAATTTTATCACCTTACATTTTCAGCTACTTTGGCGCTTTGGATTTTTGTAACGTTAGGTCCACTCCTGTTTTTTAACTTCAGCAGAAAGTTCACAAAAATGATCGAAGACATTGAAACACTCGAAGCTGCCTTACCAAAAATCACTAATAATGTAGAAATACGAAGGAAAATTAATTTGATAGCCGTTTACATAGCTGTCACTGTGTTAGGTAAGAAGATTCTTTTATGCCTATATTATAGGGGACATACGAGCTGACGGCTCCTCACGTGATGGTAAGTGAACAATGTCGCCCATAGTCACCTGCAATATTAGCTTTAAGGAAGGAGGACGCTCTTTTTTTCAAAGTTCTCAGGTCGTATTGGTTCGGAAACACTGCTGGTGACAAAGTATTCCACAGTTTTGTCGTACGTGATAAAAAATTTTTCGACAAAACCGCAAGTTTTTGGATAGTCACGCATCAAGATGGTGGGGATGAAATTATTTTCGCGATGTTAAAGTGAAAAGCAGCAGCTGGTATTAATGCGAACCATTCCTCAGAACACTCCCCGTGATAAATGCGAATACAGAGCGAAGCTACATCATTACGCAAAGCCAAAGGATCAAGCTTATAGAAAAGGTTCTGACCGTCGACAATCTAGCCACTCGGTCCTGGATGTGATCCAGAAGGAGCGCGTGGTACTGGAGTGTCCCAGCCTAAAGAAAAGCCCGTGGTACGTGCGCAACATTGATTTGCATCGCGATCTCAAATTAGACTCCATCGCGAAGTATATGAATTACGTCTCGAGACGTTACTTCGATAAAGCCGCGCATCATCCGAACTTCTTAGTAGTCAAAGCCTCTAGTTATCACACGTCCGCCCACCCGTCCTCCAATCGTAGGTCCCTCCGATTCCGTTGGCCTAGGCACGTCTTAGAATACCCTGATGATGAAATCACCGGCGCCAATGTGCCTCCGACTCCTCCCACACAGGCCACAAACACCAACACTACACAGCTAGCATGCTTTCACACTAGCTAAGTATTAGGCAGACACTGCACCCGTAGGATAAGAGTGCGAAGTACCGGTCTACACACGACACGTTATACCAGGTACAGTTACGTACCTGAGCTTTTTTGCCGCCCCCCACGACAACGGCTAACTAGAGCCAAGGTATGAGTTTCAGAGACGCCCTCTAGTTGAGTCGACCCCTCAGGTTCGAGGAGTCTAGAGGCTCCAGATGGAGTGGAGACTTTCCACGTGGGGAGATGCCATCCACCTGGAATACCTCTAGAGACACTCGCCAATTCTCAGCTTTAGGTTCAATTAGGATCTCGCCGTCCCCAAACCCGGTGACGCTGTAAAGGTCATCTGCGACCAACAGCATACACCCAAAAATAACACCCTTGACGTTCGCCCCTACATTGCTACACGGCTCAGGTATGGTAGGAGTAATTCACAAGGTGCAAGGTTGCCCGCCCCTTAGATTAGTCTGCCACGCTCGAGTGAATCCCAAAATCTCCGCTTGGGCTCCCCTACTATAGAGGACATTGTCAAAAATTTACTCTTTATATGAATTAACCAAAATTATAAAATATGGTTTTAGTAGTAAAAGCTTCCTAAGTTTCATTTGTGACAATTTCTATCCATAGTGAACATTGCCATTATAGTGAGCTACATCATACAAGATCTCTTGAGTACAGCTGTCGTGTGCCAGTACCTCTATAAAGGAAACGACAATGGAACCTGCATGGATAAGGATCGTGTGCGAAGAAACGCGTGCTTGTACACCCATGTGCCCTATAGTCATGCCCTGACATTTGTTATTCAGGTAATTTTAGCTTGACACTCAGTTTTATTATATGTATACATATATTTATATCATAATTATTTCCGCACACATCACTAAATTAAAGCGTCATTTCCATTGACGGGAGAGCGAAAGAATCACTACAAAACTGCAACTAGGGTCGAATAATAGGTATGATGACTTTTTCTATTCCATCAGGTAGATTGCCATAAAGTGTTAGATACGATTTTTTGGAGTTTACTCCTTAAGAATTGTTTTCATATAAGGCCCCCGGTATGAAAAAATATGAGGAGTAAAATCTACTGAACAAATGACCTCGTTACGTTTTTGTGCGCAACCTCATCTGCTCACCTTTCACTTTTCAGTTGTGTGTGTGTATACTTGTGTGTAGCCAGCGTCAATCAACCACGACAATAAAGAAGTATAGTTATATTTCAACGATAGAATCGATTAAATTGATATCTATTGAAAAGAATCGATCGATAAAATAAAATCGCGAATTCTATAATAAATGATTAGCGGACTCTCTTGTTCTCTTTTGAGCAAATGAAAGTGTCTCTATCGTTTTTTCACAATGAATGAGAACTTCATAACCGTTTTTCTCATAAATAAATAAAAATTTTCAAAAAAACAGCATTTCGGACGTCGGTAGATAATTCTATTATTTACGGACGTACGAAGCGACTTTTTTGAAAATTTTCACTTATTTATAAGCAAAACCCTTTCAAATTTACCCATCAACAGTTCTCAAATTGATAAATTATAGTAAAAAAGTTATTTTAAAAATTTACATGTTGCAAATTTTAATGTGAATGTGAATTTAAATAAAAAAATACTTTTTTCATATTATCTAATTTATTTATTATAAAAATTCTGAAAATTATCACGCCTTCATGTATTTTTTTTAATACGCTTTTATTAGCTTTTGGTGTATCTCTACTTGTAACCGACTTCTTCGGACTTGATTTTGTTTTGTGTCCGTTCAAAGACAGTCGTTTTTAGAGTGTAAACTCCGGTCGTGCGTCGGAGCTGACACACACAATTTTTTTTTCACATAATCTAAACATAAAAGAGTTACTACAACTTTCACTTAGATGTGACGTCACGCGACCCCACTCCTGAACTTTTACGCGCTTTATCTTTGTCATCTTTTGGTTGATTGACAAAAGAAAAATAAGTGTAAATTTTTTGTTAACCTAATTCGGATTAAACAGAATTTCGTTTACTTCCCCGGTATTATTCCGAATTGTACTATACGAGAACATCGACGTGTATTTTTTTAGTTTTCTTTAGAATATGGTTTTTTTTTGCAAATTTTTAATAGTAGCAGCATCAAAGTGAGATTTCAATAATGCTGGAAATGATTTTAGGTGACATTCTATTAATGATCTTCTATTTACATGATTAATGTTTGATGCCTATTTTTGCCTTTTACTTCGCTGTCGTTAAATTCGTCAAAAAATAATATTCTACAATTAATTTTCAGCTTGTAAGACTGCAAGGGGCATTTCTTTGGAACATTAGCTCTGGAATGATCATCGCGTGTTGTATCTATTTGGAAAATCTATTTCAAAATTTCAATGATGTGTTGATTGAGAAAAGTTTGAAAGTAAGTATCGTTTTGTTTATCAAATTTTTATATGAATATTTATATCTATATAGGTATATAAAACTCAAAGGTTGTTGACTGACTGACATAGTGATCTATCAACGCCCAGCCCAAACCATTGGACGGATCGGGCTGAAATTTAGCTGCAGGTAGATACTCTACCCCCAAGGGGATAAAATAGGGAATGAAAGTTTGTATGAAACTTTGTAAAATTTAAACCGATCGGGCTGAGACTTTGCATGCAGGTACAAGATGAATCATAGATGAATGTCATTGTGTATAATAGAAGCCTGAGAACAAAAACTGTAGTCTGCACTTCAGCTCTACACCGAAGCGAAGCGAGGGCGGGTACTACAATTCAACCTTGTTATGCTGCCAAATAAGTACACACTATAGAACATATATTATATTATTTGTCTTATTTACTTTAAGATGAATGGAAATAGAGTAAACTGGAACGAAATGAAAGCTCACTACACCAATTTGAGTGAACTTGTACGAAAATTGGACCATTACATAAATCCTATTACGTTCGTGACATTCTTTACCAACATGACGTTCATATGCCAACTGCTATTTTTGGTCATTGGGTAAGCATGTGCATAAGGTTTTTTTTTTGCTTTCAATATTAAAAGTGTCTAGTACTAAAAACTGCTGACTGAAGGTGTCAAACAATTTGAATTTAATACTGCTAGACGCATTTTGTCAGCAGTATATTATTGCCAGACTTTAAATGTCGAAAGAAGAAAGTGTCTGGCAATAAGAACTGCGGACAGAATGTGTCTGGCAGTATTAATTTCAATTTTTTTTTCTAGTAAACTTTTCTTTAGATTTAAACATCTAGCAGTTAAATGCTTAAAAAATAAATAAAAACGTAACTATAATTGCTATTTCTTCTTTCAAATGTTTAATACTTGAAAAAGTATTCATTTGACATTGTGGGTTACCTACAATGCGAAGAGATGGCGCTGCCTTGCAGCTTAAGGCTAGGAAAATTTCGACGCGGTGAATAGGGCCGTGGTAGCATAATGGTCAGTGCATTCGCCCGGATTGCGAAAGGTGCGGGTTCGAGTCCCGTCCGCTGCCTGGTCCGCGTGGATTTTTTTCTAGTAAACTTTTCTTTAGATTTAAACATCTAGCAGTTAAATGCTTAAAAAATAAATAAAAACGTAATTTCAAATTGTTGACCATACTCTCTAACGTAAGAAGCAGTCCTCAGACTGTTAGTAAAGTGAGTAATTTTTTGCCGTGCCTGTGAACCTTTTAATTGGGTTACAGCACAAGTTAGCTAGTATGTAAACGTTCATTGTACTAATACTACGTAATCCATATTTTGGCTATGAGAAAATAAGTAAGGCCAGCCGTCTTGGGATCTAACTGTATAAAGAAAATCTGTAACATTAAAAATATTTTTTTAGGAGAAGCGAATTCCGTAACTATCGTTTGTTCTTCTCGACCGGTCTCACAGTGATCAAAATAGGTCTCATGTTGTTCACATCGGCACAACTTCACACCACGAGCCGCAAACCTTTAGAACTGTTGGGGAGTATACCGCGAGCTATTTATACTTACGAGGTAATACTTGTTGAAACTTAGGTAATCCATTTTGATGAAACTTCGTTTACACAATAATTATTATTTAGGCATCTTTTGTCGATGCTGGTATCACATAGTAGAAAATAATCAGAACTACGGCTTCCGACACGCTCAAAAATCTGTATATTTAAAAGGCAACCGTTACTGATTGACTAATCTTTCAACGCAGAGCTTAAACCACTGAACAAATGGCGCTGAAACTTGGCATATAGCTATTATGATGTAGACGTGCGTTAAGAAAGGATTTCCCAAATCTCTCTCCCTAAAGGGGTAAAACGAGGGTTCATAGTTTGTATGGAGCACGAAGGTCGCAAAGTTAATACTTTAACTAAATAAGCAATGTTTCCATACATACAAATTCGCAGGCACCCCCTAGTTAATCACTTAAACTTACCGCTATTATGGGATCTTATGCAACCAATAAATTCTGCTTGAATCTGCGCGAGAATGCCTGTAAAGGTAACTGCAATGTGTGCCCCAAGAAGCACGAACTTTGACAGCTCTGCAATCGTATCGTATCGTTTCTATGAAAAGTAAGCAGCACCTCTACCGGACGTAAGAACACACTGGTTATTTCCATACTAAATTTCACGATCACGATAAGAACACGGATCTGCCAAAGTTCGTGGGTGGGACTCAGATCCGTAATTGTCCGTGTCTCATGATGACAACAACAATTGTCTATGGAAGGTGCCAGTTGTTTCGTACTACCCGTAGTGGCGCTGCTCAGTTTGCATAGAAACTGACGATGGCGATACGGGTTCGGATGATGAGCGGCTTTATCGAAGTAACGTCTCGATCGATCTTCATATACATCGCGATGGAGTCTAACTTGAGATCGCGATGCAATTCGATGTACTACGGGCAACCCGAGGCACCGCGCCACATACGATTTTGCAGCGTTTGTAGTGGTTTAAGACCCGTCGGAGGTAGTGACCCGTGGGCGAAGCAAACACTCGCGTAGGTCATGGTCAGATATGTTGTCTGGTTGCAAGTATTGTAAATTGTTAACTTATGACTAAATGACATTTTACTACGCTTCCCTATGAGGTGAAATAACCTGCCTACGCGATAGTGCTTGGGGTAGAGAACTGAATATGCTAAGCCAACTCTCTGCGTGAGCTCTGCGCGGCGGTTGCGTACTGACTTGCTGGTATTCTTCATAAATACAAGTTTAATACGTTTATAATACGTTGGGGGAACAATTATTAAAATGAGGTGCTTGCGAACAAAACGGTATAAACAAAACGGTATAATAACATAAAATTAAATTTTACAAGAGCAGCAAAAAACTGAATGACATACTTACCATTAGTGAGCTCTTGGCGTGGTTTTTAATTTAGTAATTTTAACACTATTTTAGGCAGTTTTGATTGAAATTCAAATTCAGCGGGCCCAAAACCTCCGGATTGTAAAAAAACAGTATTTTGACCAAATGCATATAAATTATTTATTACCGTTAATGTTTTGTTCGCCAGTTCCTCAAATTGGAGTCAGGCATGCTATTGATGCTATCAATAATGCTTCTGTATTTAAATCGAAGTACAAATAGATAATGTTTTCTACTAAAAACGCTTTTATGTCGTACCTGTACATTAAAACCAATTTTTTATTTTCAAAACATCTGAAGGAAGTAAATAGGACCTCCATGGCGCAGGTGGAAAGCGCGTTCGGCCTGCGGTCGTGGAGGTTAAGTTACTTTCGCAATGATCGGTCATTGGATGGGTGACCAGGCTTCAGAAGGCACGTTAAGCCGTTGGTTCCGGCTGCAGCTACAGTCGTTAGCACCCACCAATCCATACTAGGCCCGTATGGTGTCATGGCGCGATCTCCCTATTCCATCCATAGAGGAGGCCTGTGCCCCAGCAGCGGTAATAGGCCGGTGATGATAATGATGAACTAAAGTGTGCCACACTAATGATCGTGTTCTTTATCCTGTAGTATTCTAAGTTAAATATTGTAAGCATGCAATATCAATTAGAATCGATCTAACTTTTAATTTATTCTTTCATTTGTCATCATCAGGCTTAATTAAAATATTGTTAATTACAGACGCAACAGTTTATGGAGCAAGTGTATCATTCAAAAGTTGCGATAAGTGGTTTCGAATTATTCTACTTCACAAAGGAGACTATACTTACGGTAAGGGGGTAAAGTTAACATTTTTTTTTGTTAAATAAAACTCAGCAAATCAAACATACTTCGTGTATTTAAAAGAGGTATTATATTTCTTTACTTCTTTACGGCGCTTGTTTTAGGGATATCAGTATCAGTTATAATATTTTTTTCCAACAGTCACACCAATTAGCCTAGCGCCAAAGTAAGCACTGCAGGCTTGTGTTATGGGATGCTAGGGTAACGGATAGAATACATATATAAATATATTTATATAGAAAAAATACTGGAGTACAAATGCTCGTATTCGTCACACAAACACTCGAGTTGGCGACACCATGAATTTTCAGAATTTTATTCTACCATTTTGTCGGCGTGATTGATGTACATATTCTCCACAAAATTACAGCTCTCTAGTGCTAACAGTCTCTTAGCAAAACCGGGGACGGACAGACAGACATGACGAAACTATAAGGGTTCCTTGTCAGGACTATGGGAATCCTAAAAGAGGTGTAATAATTTTGTCTCTCTTTTTTTGCAGGTGTGCAGTGTTATAGTGACGTACGAATTAATGCTTTTTCAAATGTAGGAATCAACGTGCATAAGCAAAAATTAAACTGACACTTATTGGGGACAAGTGAACAAATAAATCAGTCGAGTTTTAAGCATTTGTTATATACATTTTTCATGTCAACACTTCAGCAAGACTAAAATTGTAAATGCATTTATATTTCGTTGAATTGTTTTGTTAAATAAATGAAATTCGTTGTCATTTTATTGAAAAGCGCACAAATAAATACGATGTTTAAGCTGCAATTTAAAGTTTTACATTTTAGCCAATATAGAACTCAACAACATGGCAAAATAATAATATCTTGAGATATATTTTAGTCTGAAATCTCAGTTTCAGTTCCTGGGATCTTCCCATCAATTAAATCTCCGTTTCAATGATAATTTAATACTTGAAGTACCCATTCACCATACTGGGTTTGTCTCCAGTTCGTACACTCTTTCTGCCATTCGGCTCTGGAAAGCACTTCCTTTACACGTGCGTAACGCCCCAAACGGGAATGCGTTTAGGTCTTTGGCGCGGAAACATTATTTAAAATCGCAAAATGCTTGAATTTGAATTAGACAGACAGACACTGTTTATTATTGTTAGATATGTATTTATGTATGTATATATTTGTGTGTACCTATTATATATATTATGTTGCTATAATGTATATTTATATATGTATGTATGTGTAGACCAGGTATAAGTAATTAATGCTTTTTAATGTTTTCTCTGTTCGATGTCTGCCGTTTAATTTTCTCTGCACCTTCTTTCCGGTTGACTGGTAGAGAATGCCTTACTGGCATTAAGTCCGCCATTTGCATTGTAAAGGCAATAAAGATTAAATAAATAAATAAAAAATAAAATATTACCTATAATATGGATTGTGAACAGTAAGTACCCTTAGCACGGACCAATGCGAAATGTCATTGTCAATTGTATGAAAACTTTAACAATAGCGCCACAACGGACGTAACGGTAAATAAAAATCAGTACACATTTGACGTATATCTAGATCGAATTCAACTATTCGAATTAGATACTGATTTGTGCTAAGGGTACAGTACCTACCCCTAGCACAAATTATTATCGAATTCGAATAGTTTGAGAGTGCGAAATGTCAATGTCAAATTTTGTATGGAAACTTGAACAGCAGCGCCACAAAGTACGTAACAAGAACTAAAAATCAGTACACATTTGACGTATATCTAGATCGAATTCAACTATTCAAATTCGATAATAGTTCGTGCTAAGGATACTGAACTGTAACTTTTCTTGTTAGCAGTGGCCAACTAGTGCGCTTCGGCGCGAAAGTTAAATTGGTATAGATTTGAAAATTTATCGTATTCGACGCGACATTCTATCGCTTCCACTTTAAATAAATAAGTATTGGAATAGGTCCTATGTAGTAAGAACTGCTTTTGTTTTAATTTACTTGGTGATAAAATCAGTAGGTACAATAGGGATCATCGCGGGGTAAAGTAGGTAATCCAAATTATATTTTTCCGTCAGTTAGATTATCAAAACATAATGGACACTTATTTTTTATTTTGTCAATCAACCAAAAATATACAAAGATAAAGAGCATCAAAGTTTGGAGTGCGCGTGACGTCACTTCTAAGTAGAAAATGTACCAAGACGTGACGTCATGCGCCATTTCAAATCAATATTATCCCTGTAATGTTTTGATTGTGCGATTAAAGAAAAAATATTGTCCAATACTTTTTCGATAAATCTACCTGATAGACGAAAAAAAGTTAGACATCATCCCCATAGATCGATGTGCTATCTTGGAAGCAACTTTCGAAAAGGCTGTTAATAAGATGCATGGCCAGCATTTTCGATTTTTTTATCTCAAGGAAGGTACGTGAAGCGGTTGGTCCAGATTTCATCTGCAGTCGGAAGTAGTAAAGTGAATGAAATGTAGTAACGGCGAGCGTTATCAAAACGGAGCGTACGCGTAGGGAATACTGTCAGTGTAACGCAATGCAAGTTGACACTGATAGTCTTAAGTATTTTTATATGTTATATCAGTTTGTATCAAGTAATATACTTGACAACACATAAAATACAGGTATTTCCATTCGTAGACAGGAACGCAATTGTTTTGGGTTATATTTGATTATTTTGCAAAACAGCACATAGTAGACGCCCTCTTTCAGTCGATTGGCTTGATAACGGATCCTCCCATTTTCGCGTGTGCGTTGCTTGCGTCTTCGAAGTTATACAGCTAACAGCAGTCCATCCATCGGAATCCATTTTATACGCGATATCTTCGCTGCGCATCCTTAGCGTGCCCGCTCGCAAACCGTCAGCACAATTCATACAAACAAAACGCAGTAGTTACGCAGTAGCGTAACTCAGCCGTTTTCTTGAAATAGGATTGGTATCTACAAAATGTAAAACATATTTGTGTAGATTTGTATTGTATGTGTATAGTTACTATTACCACGTTACGGAATCGAAACGGACGCCTACGGCGCGGGCGGCGCGGCGCCGCTAACTTAACTCGGTCAATGACCAGTCTCGGCGGCGCGCGACGTGGCACTGCGTAGATTTGTCTTGGCAAGATTGTTTAGCGACCGCGTAAATAACGTTTGTCTGTGTGCGTGCGTCGATTCGGGCGCTAGTATGAAGTCGGAGTATTGCTCTTGTATGTATTGTGCCGTCAGTGTCTGGATGTAGACAAAGCGAATTAATTGAATTTGATTGAAATTTGAATTGCATTTCCTGTCTGGGGAAGCAACCTCCACCTTGCAGAAGACCGCATCTTCCAGTGGTGTTGTGTTTCTGTGAAGCCGGGTCTCCAGCGCATGTTTTACCCTTTATAATTAACAAAAACATATCAACATTCAACAAAACCGTCTACACAAAACTTTGTTTCACTACACAGATTATTTGGCTTCAACAAAGTTTTTCCTTTCCTATTTTTTTTTGAGTGTGTATGCTGTTGGTCGCAGATGACCTTTACAGCGTCACCGGGTTTGGGGACGGCGAGATCCTAAGGGGACCTCAAGCGGAGAATTGGCGAATGCCCCTAGAGGTATTCCAGGCGGATGGCATCTTGGGTCTCCTCTCCGTCTGGAGCCTCTAGACCACTCGAACCTGAGGAGGTCGGCTCAACTAGAGGGCGTCTCTCTCTCGGACCTCGGCTTTAGTTAACCGTTGTCGTGGGGTCGTTGTCCTTTCCGAGCCCGATGGAAAACACATACTCAAATCACCCCCGCGCGGGTCGAGGGGCAGGGGAATGTTTCATCAACCATTTTTTGACAACTCGCTATCGGGTGCTTCGTACGTTCCAAACCTACACTCCGAGTGCAAATGTTCACTCTCACGCGCACGTTCAAATTTTGACATAAAATATACGAAACTTTTGACAAATATGACATTTGTTGCACATGAATCGCAGGTTTAATAAAAACGTTAATGGTTGAAAAAATAGATTTGTTAAAAGATAATAAGTTGTATAAAAATATACGATATAATACATAATTTTAATGGTTAAAAATATGACTGCAACATATTTTTGAATCAAATTAATTGAATATTTCTCACAAGTTGATTTATTGTCAATAATTTTATTAGTTCGGTCTGTGATCAAAATTATTAATAACGATAATTTTATAAGTCGGTTACATTTATCTATACAAATTAATATTAGCGTCGCGCTGAAATTAATATGAATTTAATGAATATTTTTTTCAATATGGTTAAAAATATTTTTCGAATATATGTGCTGATTTTTTATATTAGTTTAATTTAACGGTTGATAAATATATTCAAGAACACGTTTGGAAGGCAGCCCTGCGTATTTTGTGTACGACAGCCACGTGAACAGTAGACGATGTGTATAGAGAAACATATTTCAGAAACAAAGTTTTGTGAGTGTGTTTTTGTTGAATGTTTTCAAAAAACTTTTGCTGGAGACCCAGCTTAAAAAGATCCAATGTACTACGGGGCAGAGAGTTGGGTTGAAATCGAAAAAAATAAGATCGCTGTAGGGTTTTATTTTTTGGTCTTATTAGATATCTTCGCTCCTATAATTCACTTACCCTTATCATTTATAAGAATAATGATGGTCCGATGACTTTTTTAAATTACCCCTCACAAAACTTTTGTTTTATAACAATATTCATACAATATTAGGTATTTTTAGGTAGCAGAAACCAAAACTCCAGCATATTATAGTATAGTATTTCACAACTTTTAAATTCATCTTGACATGAAGAAAGCCACTTGACAAATTGGGAGCATCGAAATCCACTACAGGTTCAATCAATAACGATTATTGAAAAAATCCTCTGACAGATCTCACATTGACGCACTCATACTGTAGGTATGTGTTGAGGATTATTTTTATAAAACCAACACTCAACTGAGTAGACATATGACAAGGGTTGTCAACCCAAATCCCAGTTTAACAGTACGAAGCAATCATTGTCTTTTTTCGCAAAAACAATGCTTAAGCTCTCGACATGAGAAAAAATGGCGGCAAGGTACACGATATTGTGTGAAATACATACGCAAATATTTGTTATGCAAAACAATTTTTATGCTAAGATGGTAATATTTTTTCAAATTGTATACTACTCTGCGGGTTGCGCCCTCAGAATGAAAGTTAAGTTTGATCTGTTTTTCTCCACAGGGTTGTAGAATTTAGATTTAAGGCAATTTTTAGCGATCTTTATTAGAAATCATGCAATTTTTTGAGTTTATTAGGTCCCATTTATTCGAAGGTTACTTATTTATTATGATTTCATGCAGACCAAACCTCTCATATAACACATTGTACTCATCATCATGACGCACCAAAAATTCATTTATTTTTTTAATTACCTTGCCGAATAATGACAAAAGAAGAATGACATTTTATTCAGAATGAGTCTAATATTGGTCTTTACCTATGAAATTGTCGTTTTTCATGAAATGAGTTAACGCCGTTTTTTTATATATTTTTATTTTTAATTATCAAAGCGATTACCCATGCAATCAATGCAGCTTTGTGTCGTAACGTAGTGGTAGCTCATTGATGCCTTTTTTTAAAAAGTCGGCTGGACGGGAGGAAACCTATTCTTCAAAGGCATTTTGAACTGCTGAACTGCTGCTGCAGCGGTTATTAATTTTTTTTTCCCGCTAATAAGTAGGTAGATAGTAAGTAAGAAGTAATCAAATTCTGGAAAAAGTAGAAGTCTGTAAGGGCAAGGTCTGGTGAGTACAATGGATGACGAAGAACTTGGAGACCATCTACGTGCAAATTGAGGTCGCGCGTTATCGTGCAGGAACAGGGTAGCGATCGATTGACCAAAGCTGGTTGGAGATGTGCGAGCTTCTCCATTACTGTATTCAGTTCTTCACAGTACATATCTGCAGTTAATGCTCATCTCGTTTCGTAAGAACCTAGGATGAATAATACCGGTGCTAGACCGCGAAACAGTAACCTTCACTGTTTTGGGGGCAGTTTGCGTTCGTGACATTGTTTAGGTGCTGAACCAGGATCTAGCCAACTTGCTGAGCGCTTACGATTGTCGAACAGAATCCAAATTTTGCCACAAGTAGCAATGCGGTTCAATATACCTTTGTTGTGTGCCTGTTGAGCAGTGTAGGGCTCGACTTGATGCGTACTTCACGCTGGCGATCATTCAATTCGTGGGGCACTCATTTGTCAAGATTTTGTACCTTTTCAATTTGACGCAAATAGACCATAATTGTTTTGATGCTAACATCAAAAGCTGCTGCTAATTCAGCTGTAGATTGAGAAACATCAGCTTCCACAATTGCTTAATTTAATTCGTCATTTGTGTCGATTCTGGCATGATTCTCTAAAACTAAACTTAAAGGAGATTGCTCAAATTGGCCTAAATGCACAAAAAATATTGACATACACGGTAATTCTTGGCGTAATTTATAATTTAATTTACAGTCATTAGATTTCAACGGACACCTTTGTATAATATATTTACTTTAAAAAGGACTTTTAATTTTACCGGTTTGAAAAACATACGAATCATTTTTAATGGCTATGGGTGTAGTAACATTCAGCCAAAGACTGATCGAAGTTGTTTATATAACATAAAAACAAATCTACTTTTTAAAGATGGATAAAATAAATCATTTTTTTATTACACTGTGGTATTAATATCCACAACTATATTATCATTTTCACTAGATGCACATGTGCTCAGACAATTATTATAGATGGTAGGCGACATCATAAAGTCTATTGCCATACATTTTTCGCCAAACACCTCCATAAACACATTATAATCTGTATATATGTTAGACTTTAAGGTATCTATCTATGGGCCTACGTTCCTTGACTATAAATTAATAAATAAATAAAATTATAAGGTGTGATACACTAAAAATCTAAAATATGGTTATCTTAAAAACATAACAAAAATAATGAAGCTACTGAATATATGGCTACAGAACCTAAATCTCTCAATTTTCTTTGGTTAACGAGAATTTAAAAATTCTCTCTAATCTGTGGCTCATTCACAATCATCACACAGTTTCTGTCACAGAGTACCTTATTATAACCGGAAATGACACCCGATTTTAAAAGTTACTCTTATGCATTAACTTTAAAAACAGGCAACTATCTGTTAATCTACATGCTCTATATACCTGAATCTAATCCATAATTTCGGTACTTGGCTTGATTTCCCTAGTTTACTATATAACTTTTTTGTTTTTTATTATTTTAATATCTTCGGTGTATATGGTTTATAGAAGTTATCAGGGGTGTCCGTCAATAATATTCGTTTCTACAATAATTTATATATAATTTCGAATCTAGGAAACAATTTTTCATGATTATTGGTCTTTAGGCCAAACATGTATGGAAGCTGAGCAATCTCCTTTGATAACAGTGTATCCTTGTCATTCTCTATGCAGAATGAAAAGGAGAGACTGATTTTAAATAAGGTTTTAATTTGAGAGAGTCATATCAGAATCGACACCATTGTCGACTAAAGTTTTCAGTCGTCCGCGGGGTTTATTTCTTAGGTCTAAATTTCCAGAACGGAAGCGGGAAAACCAATAACAGGTGGTGCGATCGTCAGTAGTGTTCACTTCGTATACGCTGTTGATGTTGCGTGCCGCTTCTGCCGCTTTGCTGCCACGACGGTACTCACACTCCATAATCACTCGAATTTTTAAAGTATCCATGATGACGAAAAACGAACAAATGCGTTGAAAACGCTTACCATTAAACATAAGACTAATTTTCAAAAATTAATTCCATATTAAAAAATAAAAATAATTTAACTTAGTATTCTCAGCGAAAATAGAAAAAATGGACTTGAAATAGCTAGTACCGGCAGAACGGCAATTTCATAGGTAAAGAAAGACCTATTATTAGTTTTCCGCTTAGGAAAAAAAACAAAATTTGGATCGAGAATGCAATACGAATTTTTTGCTCAAAATTTATTTTGAAAAGGCAAAAACCTTATTAAATGAAACAAGCTCATTTGAACAAAACAATAATGATCACGTAGAAGAAAACGGTCAACCTAGGGGATATTGGAGTTTGGGCCGAAGTGAATGTTTACAGTGCGACAGCTACTCAGTGGTAGATTGGAGGGTTCAAATAAATCCACAACGAATAATCTTCAAAATATTTAATTTGATAGAGTAAATAGTCAGTAAGCGTTTCCTATAACATAATATTATTATATGTAATTAAATTTGACCCTTCGGATTGATGTTTGCATTAAAAAAAAATACCAATTTTTATTATATTATACACAGTTTATGACATATTATGTAATATAATTAGAAACTTCTAAAAATGACTTCTATAATTTGAGGATATCTGCTCTATGTCGATAAAGACTTGACGCAATGGATTTTTTGTCTCGAAGGACGAACATTTTAAAATAATTGATTACCAAAAATGCCCGCTAATGAAATACCAGTTTTATTATGTAAATTCAATTCGCAACAGTAGAGTTTTCATTTTCCAGCATAAGATCAATGTGCAAACGACTCGTTTTGTTTAGTTGCAGCATCACCAGTTCGTATGTGATTATCTTGCTTACTACCTAAAAGAAAGAGAATATTTATAGTGCAGTCTCTTGTGTCAATTGAGTGTCGCGTTTAGTGTAGCGTCAAATTAAGTGTCGGACAAAACTCAGCGCCAGTTGCGCGTGCGCAACTAAGATAGTACAAAAAAGAGTTTTTCGAATCGGTGAACTTAATTTTTTTGAATTCGGTTAATTATGTGTATATGTTAATAAACATACAAAATGACGTACACAATCAATAGTATTTTCCTTTTACAAAAGGTACTCATATGAGTATTGACCATTAACGAAGTTGTGGTTACGTGTAAATAGTGTTATTGCGGCTTCCCACGGTTGCGTTGTGATATGTACCTACAAATTGTAGATGTGGTTGCATTGTCACTAGTGGTTGCGATGTGGTTGCTTACAGACAGTTCGAGTCAATGTTGAGTTTACGATGTGGCCGGCCGCTAGTTCATAGTATCCCAGCGACATTATGAAAAAGCGGCCGGCCATATGGTTGCGACGAGACTGCGGTGTGGTCGATAGTGACGGCAAAATGTGGTCTGTGTGAATTCAAGTATTAATTTTAATACAAATTAGCGCCCGCCCATGTGTCGCGGTTTTGATGTAGTGTGGTCATGGTATGGTCGTAGTACTTGTGAAACAAGCCATTAAGTTATATAATATAAGAGAGTTGAAATAACTACTCAGTCATTAAAAGCTATGAACCGTGAACTCTATAATTTGTAAGTAAAGCTTAGGTTAATTATAATTATCAAATCATATTTATTAAAGAAAATAAAGCTTAGTCGAAACTATTTATTTTTTATTAAACTACTTTAGGACTAGATATCTAAGTCGTCTACTACACTAAATGTCAGTAGCAATGGAAACCTAGATACTTACACCTGTTTCTAAGGTTTTTTTTTGTTGCCTTTTAGGTAGATACACCTTTTTTTTGGTCTGGAAAATGCCTTCTGCATCCTTCAACCATTGGGGGAGCGAGAAGAAGGTATATGGGACTCCTCCCTGTCTACTTCAGCCAGCCCTGAGGCCAGATGAAGTGTACAGGGTCCTACCTACGCCCTGAACAGGGCCACTATAAACGAGACAATATCCCTGCGCCGTGTCACCCGACCCGCATTGCTAGGACCGCAGTCCCAGTTTTGCGAGTCAGGAGTGCGGGTGGGGTTGCGGTACCCTGTGAAAACTGCCCGCACAAGGTAGATACACCCTAAGGCTTCATATATACGAGCGGATCCTCCGAAAGATGGCGACGGCTGCAGTGACGATGATGGATGCCGCCATCGCCTGGGAGCCGCTCGTATATAATTATGAAGACTAATAAGACTAAGAAAACTTCTACATCACCGGCAAAAAGGTTTTTTTTTCTAATTAATTGACTTTCAGTGTGTCCCTGTCCAATTCCGAAATGTGCAGTACATGTACAGAATAAAATAATAGAACCCCAATCTTTAGAAGTGCACTCATAAAATATTTACACTCCAGCCCGCGATTTGTCCCATGCAAGGCTCATTTTACGTGACTTCCTTCCGAACTTACCTTCAGTATTGTGTTTCTTGTTATGCAGAACAAAGATCCACTCAAGGAGATTGGACAGTACAATATTTGGAGATGAAATCGTTGTATCTACGGACAGAAAGTATAGAGAAGAAACAAATAGCTGTCGTTAGATTAAAGCGTTTTATACATAAGCCCATGCCGCCGCAGAGTAGAGCAGATTTTAGGGTTTCCAAATGGTGAAAACGAAACGTTATTAGGTATGGACCTATTAGAAGGATGGCCGTCTGTCCGTCTTTCAGTAGACAATGTTCGTGAATCTTATTAGTTAGTAGAAAATTGAGAATTTCTATTGCCACTATAAAAATATATTTAAAAGGGTGTCTCTTTGACCTTCGTGGCGTGAGTGGTATATACGCCAGGTTTCATAGTGTCGATCCACTTAGAAGTACTGGATTCAAATCCCGAGGGGGCAAGTCTTAAAACCTACATGATGGATGTTTTGTAATTTTATTTTCAGATAAATACCTATATCTGCACAGGTACCTATCAGTATATTAATAGTTATTTATTATACAAGAGTGGAAAGTTCCTTTTTAACCGCGTGCTCGATTTGGATGACCGAGCAAGCGAAGGATTCTAAAGTTGAATCACGAGCGCAGCGAGTGATTCTAAATTAGAATCCTGAGCGTCAGCGAGGGAAACAAACGAGCACAAGGTGAAAAATCTTTCCACTCGAGTGCAATACGTAACTTTTCATCCCACCTCAGCGAGGAAATGACAAAATGAAAAAGAAAACAATTTATAATGACAAAATATTTTTATTTCAATTAAAACACATTAAGATAATCTATAAATTGAAGAAAATAATAAGAAGTAGAAAATAATTAAGAAATATTAAATGTAACGTTGCTACAGTTACTTATGTTAAGTTTAATATTTTTGTTAGGTAATGTTATGTTGGTGTTTGTGAATTGTGCGCTGTTTTGTGGTAAACTACTCGTATCAGTAATTTTAAATAGTTGTGCCGATTCATTGGATTCTATTGGCGTAAATGTTGGCGAGAGAGGGCTATTGTTTCCAATCTTATGGGGGCTCATTTTAGATGTAGAAGGGCGAGACCAAGAATCTGACAGAGGTTCTTTCAGCGTTATGGCCTCCACGATACTATTACAAATTTTTGATTTACTTTGGATTGAATCCTCTATGTATCCCTCTACAACCGAATTAGACTTCCAGCCTCCATGGCGCTTAAGCGATAGAAGATCAGCCCCTGATTCGGCCAAAAGTGTGGCTGAGGTTCTTCTAAAACAGTGACCGGTGTATAACGGGGGTTCTAAAAGTCCGAGAAAAGTTGCTATTTCTCGTGGAATACTGCCAATTTTATTCTGACCCATAGGTTGTCGGATACACTTTCCGTTGCGATATTGTAGAAAAAATCGTTCAATTGGGGTGTTAGAAGGACGTAAAGCTTGATATTTCTGAACAATGTTTACATATTCCTTGCGAATAACGAAGTTGCGGTCTTTTTTTGTCTTGGTATTTAGTACATTAATTAATAGCAATTCATCAGAATTATGAGAATATTTTGATACGTTATTGACATTAAGTAGTGTAAGTTCATTTGTTCGACATGCTCCGGTTATACCAATAATAAGAACAACCTGTAACAAAAGAAGTATTTATAATCGTAAATAAATTAATCAAATTAAAAATATTGTAAGTACTATGTACAATTTTATCAACAACAAAAAATTACACGTATTGACTTACTTTTGCCGCTAAATATACGGAATCAGGTGCTTCATTAATAAACTTTGCAATTTCAGATGCTGTGAAAACCTTCGATTTTTTTGGTTTATAACCAGATGAGGCTCTTTTTAAAAATGCCACTAATTTATGATAGGTGTCGATATGAACGTCTTTCTTCATCTTAATTGTTAATTTTAGCATTGAATACGTACTCCATAGCGTGCTTGCTTTCTTGGTCTCAGATAATTCTATAAAATATGCCAGCAAAACGTTTTCGGAGAAAGTTTTTGCTCCTTTAGCTAGTCGCCACATGTTAAATATATCGTACTGTTTCAAATACTTCTCTCGTGATTGCTGAGGGAGAAGGCTCATTTGCGCATTATTAACTGTTTCAGTTAACTCAGTTGGCGTTAGATAAACTTCATCGTCGCTAATGTCACTCATTTTAGTTGATTTTTTGTACAGTTTTTAGGTTATGTTAATTATATTAAGCAATAAAACGTGAAAAACTAGAATGGCGCGAAGCACGCAAATAAAACAATTTAAAAAGTTCTAATCATAAATTTGGCACCATAGAGGTTACATTAAATAGGTTTAATGACGTTTTGAATTTACAATTATATTGAGTACTCATTATATGTGATGTTCTAAATTCAAATCTACTTTGCCGCTCAAGCGAATAAAATAGAATTTTCCAGCCAGATTTCGAAGCGCAAAATTACACTTTCCGAGGTGGTGGGATGAAAAAATTATTCTATTTCTGTTACCCTAGTATCTTTTAACAGAGTTAGAACACTTAGATTGCGCGCATAGTGTATGTAAAACGTCCATCATCACAATAATTAACGGCATTTCCCGTTAGTGTAGTCCCAGCATGACAAGAGTATAAGTAAACGTAAAATTATTTTAAAACATTATGTTATGATATCAGCCAGTTAAGCTCAGTGGGTATAATAAATATACTATACAGTGAAGCCCTAAAGAAGCGAGCGACCAAACTTATAATACATAATAGAACTTACATCCACATTATAATTTGAATCCGGAACTTCGTGCAGATACAATAATGGTTTTTGAGCCTCTATGTGCACGTTGGCGGCTAATAACCACGAGACAAGCGCCCGAAGAATAGGTAACAATGTTGAAGTAGTAAAGTACAGAATGTACTCCGTTGAAAACATTATTCTGAAAAAAAAGAGGAGAAACTAAGCATATTCTCTTGTAAGTTTCCTGGTGGATCTGGATGCGATTCGTTTAAGTAAGCTTGTCGATTAAATTCAATGCTTCATGTAAATCACATCTTGAAAATGGGATAAAAAAATAGGCTCCAAAGAAAAATAGCGTATATATCATCATCTGTAGCCCCATCTGTATGTATGTATGTGTGTATATATATATATATATGTGTGTGTGTTTGTGTGTGTGTAAAATATATACATGTATGTGCATATACATATTTCATTTACTAGCAGAAAGAAAGAAAGAAAATTTGCGCATGCACTGCTTTCCCTTGCTTATATCCCCACTCAACTCCCAATCACCTCGCCTGAACACGCTTTTCGTAACGCATTCGTCAGATTACCGGGGGGTAAAGTCAAGCGTGCGTAAAGAAGTTTCAGTTCAAAAAGTCCTTCCTCGGCTGGGAAGTCGAACCCGGCCGAACCCAGGCGAACAGCTTGGACGGCAAAAGAACGACCATAGAAGGTTGTGTCATGAGTGGGATATAGTATGATAAAATACTAAAACGTCACTAAACTGTGTGTATTCATCCCCGATAAATTATTTCAAGTTCAACAGAGATATGAAGATAATTTCAATGATGTTTTTGTTAAAAGTAATATACTACGACTTGAAAAGACTTGATGAAAGAGTGTGGAGGATTTATTGAATGGGTAATGTCGCAAAATAAATACTCAAAAGTATCATCATAACAATGTTTCCTTAATCCTTAATGGGTACAATGGCAAAACGAATGTGCCACAACGAAGCAGGCACAACATATTTTTATACTCACTCATTCAACTGCCTTTCATTACAATTTTGGAGTCGGTATGAATATGAGCTGAAAACAAATATAGAATACTTTATTCGGTTAATATTTTTTTTTCTGTTTGAGCGTTTAACTGCAATATGTTTAAATCTAAAAAAAAATACTAAGAAAGTCCCCCACGCAGTCAAAAAGCAGACGAAACTCGAACTAGGAACTCCGCTATCGAGCTTCTCAACCAATTATAATACCGTAACCTTTAATGGCAGTGTCGAAGAGACGGCGCTGAAATTTTCTTTACCTTATTGAGCTTTGTTTAGTTGGGGTTTAAATTGGTTTTAAATGATTTCTTAGTAAATATCCAGAAAGTAGAGTGTCAAAAGAAAATAATATGAATAAATCAAGATGGTACGTTCACCCGAGTTCCTGCAGGTCTAATTTTTTTTACCAGGTTTAAATCAATTTAAAACGTGATTTATACTAACGTTTATAAACAAGGATCTTACTTTATAACGAAGAATAGCTGTACACATATGAAGAACAAGTAAACCAAAAACGAAAACATTATCAAACAGTTCAATTGACCGTTCATTATTTTAACTAGATTCTCTAACTGCGTATAAATGTATCGTTGTTTCTCCCAAAATTGGGAACTCTGGAAAATAATAATATAGTTTTTAATCAAAGACAAAATTTCATCATAAAATATATGAATTTCTCAAAATAACACCTACTTTATTTTTGCGTGTTTTAATTATTCTGTTGAAGTCCCGGAAATAAGATATGAGGTAGACACTCAAACACATAACTATAGTGTTTATGACGCCACTCAATATTGATGCTTGTATGTAGACAATCTAAAAGAGAAGCGTCAATTATATATCGCAGTCATCTGGCTGAATCTGCTATTTAATTGAATTACTAGCGCGTTTACTGAATGACGTCATTTAATTGAATGACAAAAGGACAACTCGTCAAGTTGTTTAATGCAACGTTGTACGTCTTGACTGAACGTCATTTAGCATAGTCGTGAAATGGGATATAGCCGACTTTGTAAGTATGTAAGTAAAAGAAAAATACCATATTATTTACGACAGATTCGTGATAAGTGGGTTACATTAGTGTTGAGGCTTGAGCTTAGCGCGAGCCCAGCGAGCGAAGCGAGCGTCAGCCACCAAGCGCCGGCCACCTGATAGATAGATAAATAAATAAATAGGTATTTGTAGGTTTTTTTCTTTCTTCCTTCTTTTTGACACCATATTTGTTTTGGTGACTACTAGCGCCGCAGTGGGAAATGAACTAAATTTAAATAACCTGACTGATTTTAAGTCCGCTTTGTTCAAAGGGCTGTTACAATCCGCTAACTAGTTGGACGTTGTGACGGCCGAACGTTGAGTGACGCTAGTTCACTCAACGTTCGGCCTAGTCATTCCCTTAAATGTCGTCATTCAATGCGCGCGCTAGTCATTCAATAAAATGGCAGATTAAACCAGATGACGGCGACACATACGAGTATAAATAAATGAATTTCAAAAATGTCAAATCCATAGATTCGCCTTGTTGCCAGAAGGACAGTGGAGGCTCTTTGAAAGCGGAATACTTACACAAAAAATCTTCTTAATACTAACTCAAGCCCATGATTTCGTTTGCATAAATATTTCGAAGAAAGGTAGGGCATAACGATTTTTTCTCGTGAATTGGAAAGTTGGCCCGGAAACGTATCCTCCGCCTTACAGAAGATCACAGTAAAATAACAACCTTTTGGTGGTGTTACGTTTCTGTCGGTGAGTGAGGTTCCAGGCCTCCATTGGGTAGGGGATTGGGTTAGAGTAGGCAACAACGGTGCGAGCAATATTTTTGGTATGGCAAGCGTCTTTATTCGTTGGTGACCGCTTACCATCGTGGGACATACGTTTTGTTTCCTTTAAACATAAAATATAACTATTTCCCATACAAACTAACGTTGCGTACGTTAGTTTGTATGGGAAATATTTTGCCCCTTCAAGTTTTATTTTAGCATCATATTCTAGCCTTCTTCTTTGCCCAATTTCATATTTATCATCGTACTAAACGTCACTTAAATAAGCATTACATTAAAATGCAGAGTCACTTGAGCAATAACATTAGCGTGGATGGTTGTGTGTAAATATAAATGCTTCATCATTTATACAATAATTTCATTGAATCCTTGAATAAATCACTCAAGAATATTGATGATGACTAAGTTTTTTTCTTCGTCTATTAGATTAAAGTATTAGACACGTATTTTTCTTTTTTCAAATAATAAAAACGTAACATAGGTTTATTCATTTGAAATGTCGCATGACCCGTCTTGGTGCAACTTTTACTTAGAAGTGACGTCACGAGACCCCATTCCCAAACTTTGACACGACTACAATAAACAATGACAACATCATTCAAATTTTTTGTTTGATTGACAGAACAAAAAATTAGTGACCATTATTTTTTGATAATCGCACTGACTAGTTAAATCTTTGAATAAATTAAACATAAAATTCACACTTGTCAACGTTGTGGTACTTAAAGAAGGAATTCAACACCATTTAGAAATAAAGCAAAGGAAGCCTTTAATACCTTACCCGCGCCCTCATAGCTTTAATGGTCACGACTTACCCTGAAAATGATAAACTTCCAAGTCGCGTAAGGTGAGTAATTTAAGTGTTGTGGAATCAGACACTTCAAGATAATGTACCATTTATCATCGGCAGTTTCGTACGCTTCCGAACATACTCTCGCGACTTTAGTAAAAAACAGTAGGGCTATTAACTTTTCCACTGAAATGGAAAATTTACACATTGTATAAACATATTCGCAGATAAATTAGCGTTTCCGGGGACCAATAATTTGATTCAAAGGCTAACGTTTCGAATTATGTAAATAAGTGATTGAGCACACTCCGTGCACGTTCAAAATATTATAATTAAGTAGGAGGCAAATAAAATTAAACTTAATTATGTCACAAGAAACTCTTAAAAAAGTATTTATGAATGAATGAAGGGGGGCCGAAGGAACCCGTCGACATCACCTGCACACACCCCGGAATGTTGATCTCACGTGACATGACGTCAGTGACGTGACTCGTGACATGACGTCACATAACGTGACTGACGTTACACTTTTTCGTGCATGCAGCCGGTATTTATCGATTTATTTGACGTTATCACGTAAAAATATCTGGAGAGGGTTGCCCCCTTATTATTTTCCAAGGGGTATGAAAAATATTTATAAAAATCAGTGAAGGCTTTTCGAAAGAGTTCGATAACAGACACGCGACTTTATACAATTCAAAGATAAATGAAAAAAAATAGAACCTTTTTTTGTAATGTGTTTTTCCTTACAAGAAAAAAAAATCTCCTCAAATCAAACGTAACAAAGCATTCTCATATTCTCACTCACCAACTAACGAGGTGAACGTAACATACAAGAAAATGTTGCAGCCCAAATGTACGTTCTTGGTTTTCCTCGTTGCCTTCAAATTAAATTCGATCTTAGATATTTTCCTCACGACGTGGTGCCAGTTGCGCGCGATTTTCGTCAGAATTATTGCGTAACACGTCGTAGCGAGAAACATGAACACGTTTACTGAAAAACATAAATCGAAATGATATCGCTTTTTTAACATTTAACATGATATTGAAATGAATATTTATATGCCGTGAATTCACTGTGTTACCTGAGAAACTTAAAAATCGTGTAATAAAAATAATGAGAACAGTTAGAAACAGTCCATACAAATACCTCCATACAAAAATATTGATTTATATCGTTTACAAAATATTCCAAAACGGCGCAAATTTGTAAATTACATACCTATTATGAAATTATTATCCGTTTAAAGTATCTACATAGATTCAAAAAATAGTTTTATTTGAATCAATTTACGACAGTTAAAACGGTTAAGGTTTCATAATTGCACATTATTGAGTTAACGTGGAGATACATTTCGAAAAAGATATTAAAGAAACAAAATTTCTGCGGATATATAACCTAAATCGTTGTCTGGAGTAGCTAGTAAAGTTTCTCAGGTACCTCAAAATTCACGGTGTATATATTTTTGGGGATCTCGATGGTGCAGTGGTTAAAGAGTGTTTCATAAATTCGCTATGAGTCGCGTTGACGTCACATTGTCAAAAAAAAAACGACGGGTTGCGAATATTAACGTTGTGCATTTTTGATATTTTGGAATGTTTAGGGAATAATTTTGCACGATTTACTTTAATTATCAGTATAAAAGTACTATCATTTATGTGGTAGAATACAATATTTATTTAATGCGCTCTCGTACACAAGCATGACAATTTTTATTACATTAAAAAGTTTATCTCTCAGAAAAATCAACCTCCATCCATAATTTCGACGAGTTTTTCGCCATCATTATTACCAGAACCATCATCGCCAATCTCTTAGACTGATACGATCGGTTTATGATAGCTGAAGTAAGAAACGAACAGTTTTCATTCGAACCTATTTAAATGTCTAATAAAGACCGCATCAATAGTAGTTTTGTATTTCGTTGTGCTAAGATTGCGAACATTTGACGTAGTTAAACCAAATTCACCATTTAAAAATTCAATTAATAGTTGATTTTTATCGTCTGCAAAGTTTATTTTGAAATCTCGACTCAAAATCATTGGCAACTCATCAAAGCTTTTTCCAAATTTTTAAGTTTTTTTAATTCCAGCCTTAGACAACCCTCCTCAATTATTTAATAAATCTTTTAAGATTATTTTATTTACATTTCACATAATGACATCTTTAGACGCTAAAGATTTACTTCAACAAATATTTCGCCATTGTCCTTTTCATCTAGTACATATATATTTATAAAGAACTCACTCATTTTCTTTCGCTATTTCGTTGTCACTTTTTTCATTAATAGGTGCACTTTGTTGAATTTCCATATTTTAAACATTTAATATACACGAATTATACGAATACACAGCAGTGTGGCCACTACACAGACGGTCGAGCCATCAGCTGTCACCATCCATCTTATTATTATAAAAAAATATTTACAACGCCGCTTCGCAGAAGTTTTCACTTCAATAATACGATAAAATAAAATATTTATATGTTTCGTCCAATATATTGAAAGTGAACAATCTTTCCAATTTTATTGTTTCCGTCTTACGAATTTTCGATTGTCAGGTGTCCACGTGCCATGATGATGAGGATGCGATCTGCCCACGTGCCATGACGCGAGTTTAACATTTTTTACCCATACAAAAAAAAGGGTACAACGCCGCTAAAGAAGTTTTCACTTCAAAAAGGGTTCTTTGTCCGCCTTTATATATCGTTTACAACTGCATCGAGTAACGCATACGACAGATTAAAAATACCGTGGACAAAAAATCCCCGGAATTACCGCGGACACAAAAGTACCCGTGAGTCCTCGAAAAAAATAAAATGTATGACAAGAGGAAGAGGCAGCAACGCACACAGCGATCTTTAGTCCGCATTGTGTGCTCGAGAGTTATGTAGTACGTCTGCACGACGGCGCATGGAATTGATTGTAAATTTTTAATATAAAAACTGAAAAAAAACTCCTTTCAAAATAAGAGTATCACGGCGGAATGGTGAAATAATATTAATACCCGCCATAAAAATAGATTAAATCATCCCCCATCAAGACTAACCATGCTTAGCAATAGCCCCTACTACATGGCAGTTAAGATATTTAATAAATTACCACATTCTATAAAAAACCAAAAATCAATTACCACATTTAATACAAAACTTAAAAATTTTCTAATTGATAAATGCTTCTATTCTGTGGATGAATATATAAATTACAAATAGATAATAATTTAATATATGAATGCACAAAGTTTAAAAGTAAATATATTTATTAGATAAATGCTTTTAAATATACTTTTTAATATATATAATGAACACTTTACAACAAAATAATACTAATGAGGCGATTTTTTTTTAAATACAAACCTAGTATATAATAATCATGTTAATTGACATATTATTTTATTTTTATTGACATATTTATTAATTTTAATTATTGACAAATTCTATTTAATTTTATAAATGAATTTCCATTTCTATTATATTTCTACTGTTAATAAGATCAATTGAGTAAGTTATATTGTTTAACAAATGGAATCAGATGACATTTATGCATAATTTAACATTTAAGTGGTTTAATACAAATTAGGTTCCTTATATACTTTTGTAATTTTTATCTTTAACTGTACTGTATATTGCGATACCCTGACGGGGTTCATGTTAGGTACTATGAGCATTTTGTAACCATCGATGTAACCACATGATTGCAATAAATTGAATTGCATTGAATTGCATTTTTGTTGTAGGAATTCTTTAGCGTTTATAGATTTCATCATCAGAAATGCAAATAAAATAATCTAAACGGGTTTATAAATAATTGAGTAGGTTTATGTAAGTCTGGGATTAACAACTTAAAATTAAGGGAAACATAAGTGAGTACCTAATTATCAAGTTATCACATTTTTTATTGTGGCTTAGGGTCACGTCTTTTGCCCCTCTAGCATGACCACCGAAACGGGATATGATAAAGCGATATATTGGCATTAACTGTCAGACTACAGTGGAGTTTGACAGTAGTCTTCGCACTCGCCAAACTATTCGAATTCGATATTGGTACAGAAATCGTCAATAATTTATTTGACGACCTCCGTAGTCGAGTCATATGTACGCCGGGTTCAAACTGTCGCCAACTCAGAAGTCCCGTGTTCTATCTAATCCTGTTGTCCCGTAAGTCATAACATGAATTTTATGATTAATTTAGAGACCGTTCTGTTTCCTATGATGACTAAAATATTTTTTGTTACATACGATTAGTGATAAATATAAAGTGACCGAAAACATTGTTGCTTTAAAGAAATACCAAAAGAATAGATAAATTTTTACTTACTTAATGACCCTGTTGATAATGTGTCACTTATAAAACAACAGTGTATATTTAAGCCCAGACAAGTAACCTGTCCCATTATGGAAAAAGCACAATAAATACTGTAAAAAGACTTGAGCTTGAATCTGCAAATGAAAAATAGTAAAGGTAAGTACTTTAATGCTAATGCATTAATAGTGAGTAAACATTTATAGTTAAAAAATGTGTTTAAATTTTATTTGTTCTGAAAACGTAGTCAAGTCCAAGTAACAGACGGGATTCAAACCCGCACCCTCCACTATCTGGACGGATGCACTGACCATTATGCTACCGCGGCCCTAATGAGCGTGTCGAATTTTCTCTAGTATTTCTTAAGCTGCGTTAGATTTAAACATCCAGCAGTTAATAAATGTTTAAAAAATAACACGGACATAATCAAAATTTAGTCAGTAGAATTATCCCGTTGCCTGCTCCAGCGCGCCTAGAAAGAGGGGACCTAAGGAGCTCAAGTGTCCGTGGAAGAGTAATAAATATCCATATAAACTTCTATTCGTTAAATTAGTAGGATTACAGAGGCACATGAGAAGAGTGTTGATTCTGCTAGGCTAATGTAAAAATCGTGCCTTAATGTAATAGTACTCTCTTTATGTCACTCATCCTGTTCCTACAATATAAACGAAAGAATGCATATATCTTTAAAGATAACTTTAATAATTGAGTCATAACAATAACTGTATGGAGAGCTCGATGGCGCAGGTGATTAGTGCGTTCGGCTGCGATCGTTATGGGTGACCAAAAATCTTCTATCTCGAGTTCCTCCGTGCTTCGGAAGGCACGTTAAACCGTTGGTCCCGGCTGCACCTGCAGTCGTTAGCACACGCCAATCCGCAATGGGCCCGCATGGTGGGTCATGGCCCAATCTCCCTATTCCATCCATAGGGAAGGCCTGTGCCCCAACAATGGGGACATAATCGGCTGATGATTATGAATAACTGTATCAAAAATCAAAACTGTTGAAAAACCACTGACACACGGTTATCACTATAAAGGTACAAGTCCGAACTGAACCGCAGACCACAGGCCGCAGCTGCAGACTGCAGGCGACACTACTACTTTCTATGAATCACTATGAAATTGATTCCGAGCGCGGCAACATGCCGCGGCTGCACAATGCATATAATGCAAGGGCTCATTGCGAAATTGTACCTTAACTTAGCAGAATCGACACTAAGACCGTCCATCACTGTCATCCATAAGTCGTCTGCAATACCTGTTTGGCGGAACTGGGACTATCTTACCGTATGTCTTCAGCATTAGAACTGGTCAACCCCTCTACTGGGAAGAAGCCGAGACATCGGAACAGTATCACTACAACTTAGCAGAAGCGACACCCAGACCGTCCATCACCGTCATCCATAGAGGTCTGCAATACCTGTTTGGCGGGATAGGGACTATCTTACCGTATGTCTTCAGCATTAGAACTGGTCAACCCCTCTACTGGGAAGAAGCCGAGACATCGGAACAGTATCACTACAACTTAGCAGAATCGACACCCAGACCGTCCATCACCGTCATCTATAGAGGTCTGCAATACCTGTTTGGCGGGATAGGGACTATCTTACCGTATATCTTCAGCATTAGAACTGGTCAACCCCTCTATTAGGAACAAGCCGAGACATCGGAACAGTATCACTACAACTTAGCAGAATCGACACCCAGACCGTCCATCACCGTCATCCATAGAGGTCTGCAATACCTGTTTGGCGGGATAGGGACTATCTTACCGTATGTCTTCAGTATTAGAACTGGTCAACCCCTCTATTAGGAACAAGCCGAGACATCGGAACAGTATCACTACAACTTAGCAGAATCGACACCCAGACCGTCCATCACCGTCATCCATAGAGGTCTGCAATACCTGTTTGGCGGGATAGGGACTATCTTACCGTATGTCTTCAGTATTAGAACTGGTCAACCCCTCTATTAGGAAGAAGCCGAGACATCGGAACAGTATCACTACAACTTAGTAGAATCGACACCCAGACCGTCCATCACCGTCATCCATAGAGGTCTGCAATACCTGTTTGGCGGGATAGGGACTATCTTACCGTATGTCTTCAGCATTAGAACTGGTCAACCCCTCTATTAGGAAGAAGCCGAGACATCGGAATAGTATCACTACAACTTAGCAGAATCGACACCAAGACCGTTCATCACCGTCATCCATAAGTCGTCTGCAATACCTGTTTGGCGGAACTGGGACTATCTTACAGTATGTCTACAGCATTAGAACTGGTCAACCCCTCTACTGGGAAGAAGCCGAGACATCGGAACAGTATCACTACAACTTAGCAGAATCGACACCCAGACCGTCCATCACCGTCATCTATAGAGGTCTGCAATGCCTGTTTGGTGGGATAGGGACTATCTTACCGTATGTCTTCAGCATTAGAACTGGTCAACCCCTCTACTGGGAAGAAGCCGAGACATCGGAATAGTATCAGCGTGTGCTTGAGACATGACTGCATCTCGCATCGATTGATCGGTAAAACGCTCACAGCTGACACTCGGTTGCAAAGAAATCTTTTTAAGAATTTACTCATTTTTAAACAAATTCCTGTAAATCCTGTAAATAAAAGATTTGGTAAAAAGCACTTCTTTTGAGACGTAGAATATTTTCTCTTCCGTACTGAGAGTAAAAGCATTTTAAATTATATTATGTCACTAGCGGCCGCCCGCAACTTTGTCCGTGTTATTGTTAGTTTTTTAAGAATCCCACAGAAACATAACATTTTACCGGAATAAAAAACTCGGTCGTAAACTATATGCGTACTTAATTTAATTCATATCCGTTCAGTAGTTTTTGCGTGATTGGGTATTAAAAACATACAAACATTCACATGTATACTAATATTATAAAGCTGTAGAGTTTGTTTGTTTGATTGTTTGGTTGAACGAGCTAATCTCAGGAACTACTGGTTGGCCTAAGTCATAACATCCACCTGCATGCCAAAGGAGATTGCTCACCTTCCATACATGTTTGGCCTAAAGACCAATAATCATGAAAAATTGATTACTAGATTCAAAATTATATATCAATTACTGTAGAAACGAATATTATTGACGGACACCCCTGAGAACTTCTATAAACCATATACACTGAATGATTTTGAGGTTATGTTTGCAAATAGATACTTAAGTATTAAAATAATAAAAAACAAATAAGTTATATAGTAAACTAGGGAAATCAAGCCAAGTACCGAAATTATGTATTAAATTCAGGTATATAGAGCATTTAGATTAACAGATAGTTGCCTCTTTTTAAAGTTAATGCACAAGAGTAATTTTTAAAATCAGGTATCATCTATGCATTTCCGGCTATATTGAGGTACTCTGTAACAGAAGCTGTGTGATGATTGTGAATGAGCAACAGATTAGAGAGAATTTTTAAACTCTCGTTAACCAAAGAAAGCTAAGAGATTTAGGTTATATAGCCATATCTTCAGTAGCTTCATTATTTTTGATATGTTTATATTATAACCATAGATATATAGATAGCTTATAGAGTATTTTCAAAAAAGAAACGTTATTGATGGTGGTTATAGGCTATATATATACTCGTATGTATGAAAAGTCTAATAGGAGCAGAGCATCACTGAAAAATGTTGCGAAAACGGGGAAAAATATTCCTTTTCAGAGCTTTCAGTGCGTGCGCTGCGTAAACGGTTAAAGTTACACAAAAATCATGTATCAATAAATTTTTCTCCTTTAAAAGTTCTTAAAAAAGTCCCCGACAGCATTATGACTATCTTTTTTGGTCATTAAAGTTGTTCTAAAATAATGCATTATCTGCGAAGGTGTTTTTATTCGTTATCAACATTAACACATTATTCACCACAAGTATTTTATTTTCTAAAAAATTGTTCTGGAGTTTCTGCATAGGTTGATTTCAATAAATATCTTAAGTGTTAGCATAGTTTTAAAATAACTCCGCAACTAAATAATGATCAAGTGCCACGCACGGATTTATGTTGTACTAGTGGCCCGCCCTCGCTTCGCTTCGGTGTAGAGCTGCTGCCCTGCCAAGCCAACACACTGTAACTTTTGAAAACCACTTTTGAGATAATTGACAAAATATATTTTTTATTGATTATTCGCCTTTTTAAAATAAAAAAAAAAGTTGGTCAATATTGTATAATTTAATGCAATCAATGGTAAGATATACATTACTAGTATATGGCCAAGTAGTATTTTTGGCATAATTTTAGTAAGGATGAAAGATATTGCCAAAAACTTGTATTGACAAAACAATTATTATAATTTAATTTGATTCCTAACGAGGCAAAACACTGTAAAACAGAATACAGTGTTAAGTATTGTATGAACGTAGCTAACTCGTTATGCCATAGCACTGTATCGAAGCATACTATATAAAGATAATAAAACCAATATTTGCTCAACTAATATTTAGTAAAAAAAAAAACAAGTATTTGACTCGATTACAAATCTGAATCAACATTTGTATCGAGATCAGGTGCATTTCATTCCTCAAGAGCTTCATAAAAAGCAGGCAGGCATAAGTATTGGCAATTCTGTTTTCTTAAATTCACTCACATCTCTTGGCTTACTCTCTGTTTCTATCATATTTATAAGATATAATTCATCATTTATTTTCTTTTTTAAATCTCCTTCAATCTTTTTCTTTAAAAAATGTATTTCCTTAAACTCCCCTTTGTTATCTTTTTTTGGCAAAAAGAGAAAGTTGCCCTTTTCGAAATTCAATAATATTTTAAATTTTGAATATTCTAATCTCTAGGAAAAGCTATTTTACAATCGTTTTTAAAAATCAGCATATCTTTGTGTTTAAGTACGTCGACATCCAGGTTTTTTCTTGACTGTTTGATGTCACGAAATCCTCCAGATCATCAACTTCACATGCTGTTCTCAGTTTTTTGGTATAGCTTTTTGCATATCGACTATAAATACAGTTTTTTTTCCTTCCGAATTATCACAAAGATATTCTGCTAAATTTAGATGTCTTCGTGAATTACGTTTATTTTCCAAGTGCTGTCCTATGGTTATACAATCTTCACAATTACAAGGAAGAGGTAGTTTTTAATGAGTAATTTGATGATTTTTACACTTAGTGCAAATATCTTGAGGTAATTCGGCAATTAATAGATATTTTTTTTATCATAGTATGAAAATGAGTCTAATCACAACATGGTAAATTATTGTCTTGGCAATGCTGCTTAAAATTCTTATATATAGTGGAGAAATAAATTCCGACTGGCAAATATTTTCTGTTGGGCGGATGGTTAATGTTATAATGTGATGAAATTGGTTTGTATTTTAATACAAATTCTTCTAAGTTCAAATCGCCGTCCTCGAAGATCAGGCGTTGCGTTCACATTTGGCTTTTATTGTACTCTAAATAGTTAAGTTTTCAAGACCAATTGTACAGCTTCGTCATTGGTATAGCCCAAGATCTTTAGAAAAATAAAATATTTAAGTTATGCTTAGAACTAGTATCTGTAATAGATTCTTGGTTGATCTTTGATTGAATCAAAGACACATTTGCATCGTGCGCAATTTGTAAAGAAGACTGAACACTGTCTAGATGAAGATGCAAGGTGGTACTGGATTGCTAAATATCTTCTGTAGAAATATTTGAGACAGTTAATAAAGTCTTGTCACAAATCAAAGCATGTATCAGTTGAGTGTGTTAACTCTTTCACCTAATTCTTCTGAAAGGCATTCATCAACTTGAGACTCACTCAGAGGAACTTATAAAGTTCCTTAACTCCAAATTATCAGGAAAGTCATTTTCGTTTTCATTGTGGTTATCGCAGTCTATAAGAAATTTCCTTCACTTTGACTTATCTGAAAAGTAATTTTCATACTCATTGTGATAATTGCAGTCTATATTTTCTTTTCTAGACAAGAAAGAGCAAGATAACAATATTGTTGTTGACTCAACTTACGCTGGTTGGATAGCATCAACGCGCCTTTACTTGACGGCTCAAAACACTGTATTTATCTAGCAATATGCGTACTTTGTTTAGCCAAAACACTGTATACTTTGTTACAGTTTTTCTGTGTGTTTATACCTTATTTTAAATGCAATACAGTGTTTTTTTAAGTGCTTTATCTTGCAAAATAAGGGTCAAAATGAAATGAGAGTTGGTTTTATGTAATCAATAGACTCAAATAAATCGATTGGCCATTGTTAAGCAAAAACACTGTAAGTCTACTTACAGTCTTTTGGGTTGGCACGGCAGTGTAGTGTAAACTATAGTTTTTGTTCTCAGGCTTGTGCTATAAAGAATGACTTTATTTATATAATTACACGTGTTATTGTGAGTCAACCATAAAAGATAGACATATGCTGTTGCGGGATATTTTTTAGACAATTTTATGTAGAATATTTCCGTCATACATGATTTCTATGTAACTTTAACCATTAAGGCTGCACCCGCGACGGAAGCTTAAAAAATGGAGTAACTTCTCCCGTTTTCCCAACATTTCCCTTCACTACTCTGCTGCTATTGATTGTAGCGTGATGAAAAGTATACTATAACCTGCCCAGGAGTATGAAAAATAATTGTACCAAGTTTCGTTAAAATCCGTTGAGTAGTTTTTGTTTCTATAAGGAACATACACACAGACTGACAGACAGACAGACAGACAAAAATTTTACTGATTGCATTTTTGGCATCAGTATCGATCACTAATCACCCCCTGATAGTTATTTTAAAAATATATTTCATGTACAGAATTGACATCTCTACAGATTTATTATAAGTAAGACAATGGCGGCCGGTGGCGGGGCAAACGCGATCTGGTAGCTGTGCGAGGTAATAACATGACTTGCTAATATGTACATTATAAATGTGAAAGTTTCTATGGTTGTTACTCTATCACTCAAAAAATATTGAACGGATTTAGATGAAATTATGCACGTATAGTTGGACACATGGACTGAGATACAGGATATTTTTTATTCCGGAAAAATGTCAGGTTCCACAGGGATTTGCAAAAAACTAAAGTTAACGCAGACGAAGGCAGCCGTTAGGATATAATATTAGTAGGCTTGTAAAGAATGTTTTAACTGCTTACTTTCCAGCGCATATGATTTCGGTGAAACTTGTGGGAAAAAAAAGCATTTTTTTTTTATATTTTATTTCCAGAGAACATCTTAACGGATGCCAAAGGAGGCGTCATCGTTGTGTTTGGCTCCTGTACTTAATAGGAGTAGTTTATACATATTCATTACTTTCAAGGTGCACATATTTGATACTTTGCCAATTCAGCAAGGGGAACTTGGCATGAAAATAAGTAAAGGTATAAGTTTTCAATTTGACCTTTGATAGCACAAAATGTATAGTAGAGCGCCAAAAATTAAGTCCAATCTTTATATTTTGAATACTTTTCTCTCGTAAAGGCCATATTACACTATGCAATAATTTATCGTACGATTTTGAAATTGATTAATACCTAGTCTCACTAGACAGTGCACTATAAAAACTGCACATCTAATTATACACTTTAAGGTGAATGCAGACTTGGCCGCACCGCAGTCTCCGCAGTCCCCGCAGTCATCGCTTTGTGTTAAGGGCCTTGCAC